GCGTGTCGCAAAGGAAGCACTTCTTGTCCTGCAAATGGGACAGGATGCAGAATCTCTCCGGCGAATGCAGACCACAGGTGGAACTGGCCGTTAGGCGGTTCTCCCTTCCGATTAGGAGATTACCCGTAGCCGGGTAGCAAGAGGATCTCTCGCAAGGATGTGTCTTGACATATTTGTTTAGTGGATATTTGGTACGATCCTGCCGCCTGCCTTGCTGAGGCGGTCTCTGGGAATCCACTGAGCCCAACTGGCTGCCGAGCAGGCCGAGCACAATGACCACGATAAGCCGCAGCTCCAACATCTCGAACTGGCTCTCTGTTGTTGGGGTCGCGTTCCACTGGGGCACTTCCGGCCGGGACTTTAATCAGTTGCTTTTCTTTTCGTTCGTTTTTGTGGGGATCTCTTACAGCTAGCCACGTGATCCTCGGTAGAAAGATCTATAAAAATTAATTTATAGTGTTAAAGCTCATTGCTTGAATGTTCTAAAAAGATTTGGTGAAAACTATTAACGATCGAATTTTTAATATAATAATAACATACACATATATAATAATTCGATTGATTTTTTTAAATAAAATATTATTTTGAAAAATGTACATTATCTTCATTACTTTTTTTCAACATAAGCCTTAATGAGATTCACCAAGTTTTTTAGAATTTAAAATAAAAACAGCACATTCGCACTTACTTCTCCACTGCTTCTCTTCTTCCTTTTCCTTCTCCAAAATTTTTATTCATTCATGCTGTTAGTTTTTAACAAAACCAGTAGCTGTAAGAAGAAACAAAGAATTCCTTTATTAGTTATATTCTTTCGGTTCCGATTTTTAGTCACAAAATAAACTTCTCGTTTTTGCCCTCACTCTGAACTGCTTATCAACCGAGATGCTCTAATTTTCTACACAACAAAAACACAAAAAACAGATTTATTTTCGTCTCGTACCATTAAAACAAGGCATCCGCGCCCAACGGGTCTTACGCACAAACTGAGGCGCAGACCGAATCTTGAACTGAAACTGAATGGATCCTATTCGTATTATCACTCCGACTACTCGCAAGCTATATTGCGATAATGGTGAAGCTTAATCCGTTGTTGCCTGGTGCGTATAATTGTTATTTTATCAGTGTTCACTTACAGTTTCAGAGAGTCTCGTACAAAATACTCATCACGAATTGGAATTGTAATTTGCTTTTCTTGAGAGCGCTGAGAAATGGAATAAAACTCAATGAAATAAATAAATAAATTTGAATTTAAATATTTTTAGTTTCAAAAATATTTAAAAATAAGTAAAATAAATAAAATTTAATTAACCTAATTAGAAAATTCGTTTTCCCCACTCTTGGATGGTTATAATAAAAATTTGTTTATATTTTTTAAGTTTTAACTTTACAGTATGCATTAAAAACTATTCACTTTATTTAAGAAAAACAAGAACAATATATTCGCAATACTTATTAAACCAAACTTTAAGTAATAGCTAACCCCAAATTCATATATTAATAGGATTTCTCAAAATCAAAACTGAAGCTTTTTTTTTTAGTTCTTATCAGACGATCCCGGAGGGGCCACACGAAACAAAATTCGAAAACTGTGCTGAGAGATAACCCTCCAAGCGCCGCCGGCCAATCCAAACTCAACTCAACTTCTAGACCCAAACATAGAGCGGCTAAAAATACATATTTCATAATTTTGAACTGTCCCGATAAGAGTTCGTTCACAGATACTTTTTCTTGGGAACTCTACGTTGGGAACTCGACTCCAGACTGGACTTAATTACTTTGAGTGTGTTTAAATTATTTTGTTTGCTATTTGTGGGTTGGTTAATTTCGATTTCGTTCGTTTTGCCGCCGAGGAAACTGGCAAATAAACAAATAAGCAAAGAACAAAACGTAAATTTACCAGGCATACAAAGCACATCTACTGTATAAGTTTGTATATGTGGGTAAATAATGGAGCAGCAGTGGAGCGCTCCACGATTCTCGACTTTGTTGGGTGTGTATCTAAGTGTAGTGGTCTGTATGTATTTTCTGTATTCGTACATATCTTTGGATGACTATGGCCAGTTCATAAAAATTTGCTTATACAATTGCCTGGCTCATGTTTTCTTAGTTTCGTCGGGAGATGATGTTTATATTTCCAATTTTATCAAGACGCGCTGACTTTTTCTTACTTGACCACACAAATACAAATACGATTGCATACAGTGATCACTGAAAAAACGAATTTTGAAATGGAAGTTTCTTTTAATTAAAAACCCGGTCATGTGTAACCATATCTTTACAAACTCCGGTCCAATTTCAATCTTTCATAAATCTGTAACCCGGTTAAATACACCTTTTAATGAAAAACTCTTTTATACTAACCCAGTCTCAATTCTAAAATAACTTAAATTAAAACATACTTTTCGAGTGACCACTGTATGCTTATACTGTAGACATATGCACCATTCCACCGTCAACCCCAGCCCCGAATTTCAATTCTCAGTCTGGAGCACACATGTTGTGGAAGTCTAACGTTTAAATATGAGATCAGCCTGCGATAGTCCGGCTATAATTAGACCACACCGACTAAATCCTTTCCACCCACAGACCGCAATCCAATCTAGATAAATTAATTCGTCGGCTGCACATCTGCTTCAAGGCGACAGGCCCGGCTCACATTTTAATTAGCCAGTCCCATTGTCGCTGATGTAAGGAAAATCAGCTTGGCAATGCACTTTTTAAGTCCACATGCAGTCGTCGCCTTATGGCATCATGTTTCTATATGTTCGGGTATGTATGCTTAATCTACAAAAATGCTCTAGCCATGTAATTGTACAATGTACATTTATAGTTTTTCTTTGCTTTATGAGACATGAAGTCATATTTAGACAGATAAGAAATTAGAGATCTTGCGATGTGCTCTTTACGTTAAAAAAAACCGTTAATCCAATATTTTATACTCTACATTTTAAAAATTTCGGCAAGAATTTTAAGTATCAGCTTTAAGCCTTTTGATTTATACTAAAAAAACTAAATAACACTACATTTAAAAATCAAGCTTAAGGACGTTACAAAAAATTGTTTCGAAATTTAGAAAACGGGAGGCTTAAAACATAACCATTAGCTTATTTCAAAACATACTATTTAAAATATATGATTTTGAATTAAATTTTAGTCTTTTCGATTATGTTTTTTTAGTCTTTTCGACTATTCGGGAGTTATTTCGAGTTTTGTGCACACATAAACAGGGAATCGATAAAAAAAAAGCGGCAGTATGCCACAACAACAACAACAACAACAATATCGGCAGCGGATGCGAAGGAGGAGAAATAGAAGTACGCAAGCAGCAACAAAAACAGGCCACAAGATAAACCTCAAGAAAGAGACAGGGAGGAGCGAGCGAGAGAGGGAGACTGCAGCTGTTGAAAACTGCGTAAAAACTCCGCGTGGATCCAAAAACTCCATAATTGATAAACCGTTCTTAAAGATTCTTTAACTTACCGGAATCTTTTTTTCAGCTACGGACTATGCATCTATTCCAAGAGGCGAAGTTTCAAAAGATGACTTTTCTGTTATACAGACAAAACAACAAACACACGTCTTGGGTGTTTTTATTTTTGTTGATACGGCAAACACTTTTCGACTTCTTTTTATAAACTCCACTCCACACGGTACACTCACACACACGCACGCGACGGAGAAGATATTTTCCAAGACAATTGGAAAGAAAATTCCAAGAGTTGGGGCGGAAAGGGATCCAACTCTCGATCCGGTGCCGACTCCGAAAAACGTCCGATCGCGAGAAATCCACAAGAGAGAATGAGTTTTGTATCGCAGCGGAGGATGAAAACAAACTTTATACCTTATACCCCGCAATCTCAGTCCCAGCAACAAGTGATCGCGACGAGAGCGAGAGCGCGTTGGTGTGTATACCCTTGCACACGGTATACAAGTATTTCAGTGAGAAGTTTGCAACGTAGTGAAGTTTTAGTTCATATGGCTCAACAATCGGAAAAATTATAACTTCGCTGTTTTTCAATTGATTGAACTATACTTCCATACATGGTAGTGGTTTATTATTTCAGAACTACGGTTTTGAGTTTACTAAGATCGGACAACGATGTCACTTAGCTGCAATAGGAACGATCGAATAATTTAGAGGAAAATTAGGCTATAGGCATACAAATATATTGTTGCTTTACAGAACATTTCCTTTTTGGAGTAGCTGCAAGGGTATATACACTTCGGCTTACTTCCTTTCTTGTTCAACATGCATTGTTGTATACCTACATAGTTATTAACATAAAAATGCATTTAACAGAGGTATAACTAACAGAGATATAACATTGGAAGTGTATCTTTTAAATATGTATTATGGTACTGGCTTTATAATGGCAAAGTTTACCGTGTCTTTGAAATAAATCAAGAAATACATACATCGACTTTTAAAATTGATCTTATGAACTACACTTATACAATTATAATTATAATTTAACATATATTTACCTATGTATATATATATAAATGTCAAGAGCTAAACGTTAAAAAAGTGACATAACTTTTAAAGAATGTCTTACAGAAATTCTGTATACAAATTGCTTCCTGGGAGAGTGATAACCTCCTGATCCCCAACATTCCGTCCTACAATGTCTCAGTTTTAATTTTAAATTGTTTCCCGCCAAGATTTTAGAAATCATCGGCCAAATATCGCATAGAAAACTGCGCTTGGGAACGGTCAGTTGATCGTAACCAACTGATTAATTTTTGGCTCGCCAAAACCTTAAGCATTTGAGTATTAGATTGCTCTTTAAGAAAGTCAAACTCGTCGTCTTGAGATTTTCACGAGTAAATGTTATATGGACCAATATGAAATTGAATTAACGGACACCAAACAATAATATGACCATCTGTTACAGAGACAAAAATCCTTAAGTGCAAAATATAACAGAAAATACCAAAAGGTATATTCGAACCAACTATCGATATTTAGTTGTAATTGCCAGCTCTCAAAAAATGGGGAGCATCGCGCTCATAACGCTCCCAAATTCCAACAGCTCCAGTCGTTCCAACTGAGCTCCACTCGAAGTATCCAAAAATACATAAATCGCCGGGAAAAAATATAAAACCCAATGGTTCAAAAAACTAGTGCAATTATAATGTTTTGAAGTTAACTTGTATAAAAGCTTATTCTCGGTCGCTGATGTGTTTATTTTTTACTTTCTCATTACGATATTTAAATAAAAGAAAAGTGTAAAAGCTCGCGCTGAGAATGTTGTTAACTTAAAAATACGAGACAGACAAACACAAAATTCGATGTGGAATATTCCTTGACAAAATTTTCGAAAACGGTACAAAAAAAAACAAATAATATCCCATAACAAGTGTAAATTTAATCAAAATTGTATAGTGTTATGCAGAGTGTGGTGTGGGTGTTCCTAGCTGGTGCTGCTGTTGCTACTTTGCTTCTCTTTTCTCCCGATTCGTCAATATCCATCCAACAATAATAACTTAGGTGAGTCTTTTTTTTATCCCCCAAGTGTTCCCCCATTGAATACTTTCTTCAGCCACGTACCAACAAAAACTGTGTAACTGTAACGACTGTCCCGCTCTCTCTCCCCTTTCCTCTTTCCGCCTTTTATCGTAGTGCCACGAAAATAGTCCAGAAATTTTTACCCAAAAACTTGATTACGCAGTACATAGTACATATCGTTATTTTTTTTATTCTATGAGTTTTTAGTAGCAAAATGCTTTTATTTATACCCAAACACACTCTCCAAAATACCAAGAGAGCGTCAGAGCGGGATGCCCATACAAAAGCCGTCAAAGCACAAGTGTGGGAGAGAGAGAAAGAGCAGCTTTTAAAGAGAGTCAGCGCATGCGCGTGAACAAGTGGGTGGGTGGGGGCGGTAAAGGGGAGGGGTGCAGGTGAATGCTGTTGCCGTTGTGTTGTTGTGGTATGCGAGCGCGGCAAAATCTTTAAACACCGCGCTTCCAATTTCCAACTAACTGACTTGGCTAAAAAAGAAACAACTATTGACGTTGCTTTTTTATTTTTAAACCACCTTTTGCTGTCATTCTAGGTGACGTCATTTGAAAAACTTGTTTGTTTGCCCATTGTTTTTTTAATGCCTAACCAGAGCCTAGCCCAGATCTATAGGTTTCTATTTCCAACTGGAAGATGAGAAGGTTGCTTTCTATCGTATTTTATGTTTACTTATTTTTATATATGTACAGCTCGGAAGCAGATAAGCCCGAATATGTATTTGTTTGTTTGTAAATATGATTGTAGATACGCGTGTGTTTGATATGTATGTTTTTGTGTCGTCACGTGGGAGCTATAGTGGCTGGAACTGTCAACTCCAAATGTCATGAATGGGGAGAGAGAGATAAGGGCAATAATCCCGCTATATTTAGCAATGATCTGCGATTCATATTAGGAGAGTGGTGAGCGTAAGACGAAGAAAGAAATGGAATGGTGAAGACATCACAATCAGTTCACAGTTAGATTTTTATATTTCCCTGGCGATCGACACTAGAGGGCGCCACCACAACACTCAAGATCAGTGGTGACCAATAAAACTACTGTTTAAAATTGACTTCAAAAAAAGTATTACTTTTTTTACACTTAAATCTACTCTTTACAATTTTCGTTTAGAAATAATTAAATTTGGAGAAGCACAAGGCGTATTAGATGAGTAGATCGCATTGACATGAGGTCCCAAAGAAAATTTGTTTACTCTAGTTACCGTCCTTGTTAGATAGCCATTTTCGATAAGGATTTTACACGAACGAAATTACGCCCAGAGACCCCAAGAATACTAATCCGTTCTCCTTTGCCTTTCTTGATGGCCCGACTTGCCCTATATCCTGATATCTTCAGCTATTTTCGTTTCCGTTCGCCCAGGCCCGCCCAATGTCATGCGATATACCCTTACACCTTACACATACACCTCGTACACCTTTGGCGCCCCGATAGGAATCTAAGTTTGGATCTGACCTGGGCAAAACTCTTTAGTCGACATGCAAATGTGCCATAAAAAGCGCTCGACGTCGTCTTGACTTTTCAACTTTAAAGCCAGGAAGAGGAAATGCATAAAGCACAGCCAGGGGGGCATTTGGGGGGATAAAAGGGACTAACTGTAGTCCCAGCTCAAGACCGAAATTCTGCAAAAGCACGCCAACCGCTGCTTAGTTGTAAATGGAAACGGTTGTGAATTTGCATAAAATCGAATATTTACATGTGTTCCAAAGCATATATGGGTGTGATAGTGTGTGGTAGTGTGTGACCGTGTGTGCGTAACACTTTTGATGATAGGTCAACATCGTAAACCCTCCGAGTGTCCCAGACCAATAAAATACATTTTGCGTTATGTGGGCAAATGAGGGAACGCCTCTAGAATGGAAAATTTGGTAAGGGATTAAGGGATTTACTTAAGACATTGACTAGCAGGTATTTAAGATAAGGCTTATAAAATAAGGAATATAATTGTTGTGGGCGGGCTAGCTTATCTGATATGTTCCTATAAATAAATTATGGGAAAGAAATTTTTATGAAATATTAAATATTAATTGTTTTACAAAACTCAAATACTGCGTCTTAAACAAGACATTCTAATACAACATTTCAGTGCACTAAACTCGATGAAGATTATGTCATGTGTACATCCTTTTGTTATCCATAGATTTGCATAGGGACGTGACTTTAGAATTTTCCACAACTCCCCGTTAGAGTGTTGTCCATTCGAGTTCCCTTCTGGGCTCAGCGTTTTCCTTTTCCTTTTCCATTGTTTATTGGACTGCGGATACCAGCCCAACTGACGACTTGATAGAATGAGTGCCTGACTGATGGCTTTATGCATATTGATATCAACGCCATCACCTACATTTGGCTACGGCAGGAAAAGTGGAGCAAATAAGGCAGAGAATTGTGCTTAGGGGGAAAAATGGGGAAAAGCGAGCAGGGTGGAGACACTCATAAAGTTGGTAACAGTGACGAACATAACACATGTTTCCACTCAATAAATACGTAGACTTATAAAAGACGCTATATGTACTTGTTGGTACGGACGGATGGTTGGATGGTTGAATGGCTTTATGTAGAACACCCTTTGCGGAAAACATCATTTACTGCCATCCAATTAAGGCAAAGTCAGGTTTTGCGTGCAAGTCGGTGTGGGCGCATTTGTTGCCAACAATCGGAGAGAAATAATCATTTAAATAAAATGATATTGTATAGGGGCTTGGACTTTGAAATGCCCTGTGTTTTCAACCTCTCAATGATCCGTAAAGTTTCAGAAAAACACAACTTATGTAGATTACTTAAATATTTCATAATTAGTTTACAAATTTAAATTCAAAATAAAGTTCATACGCATTCCTATTAATAGTATATAATTGGATAATTCAATTAAAAGAATATTATAAATTTAGTTATATTTTGCCATTTTAAAAAGTACAAATTTTAATAAATCAAATTATTATCTAAAACTTTTTGCATTTTAATCTAAGTATCTGGTAATACCCTAAATATTTAATACTAATAGGTATGCCAATAACAAACAGTGCAAATTAAATTTGTTAATAAGCAATAACATGCGGAAGCTTTAAGCCCAATATGTGTGGGCTAGACAGAATTGATTTAAGACGCCTGACGAGAGTTTTACCGCTGCCCGAAGATATAATATCACAGCTATAATAAATCTATCTGTTTTAATGTTTTTGCAGTCGCCAAACAGTCGTCATCGTCGTTTGCTCCCTGCTCCCGTGTTTCCGTTGCCTGGTAGTCTGCCATGATGTTGGACGATGACAACTCGGATCTGTTGGTCTGTGCATCTGAGATGCAGGAAGGTGAGGGCTCAACGAACTTTAAACGGTCCGACATTGAGTGACGCGAATTATTCTATTCTGTTTGCAGACCGTTTATATTTTGTGGCCTTCAAGAAGAACATCAAGCCAAAGAACACGATAAATACGCACTACTTTAGCATCGATGAGGAGTTTATCTACGAGAATTTCTACAACGATTTTGGGCCCTTGAACATCTGCATGCTGTACAGATACTGCATGAAACTGAACACTAAGCTGAACGCCAAGTGCCATGCCAACAAAAAGATAGTTCACTACACCTCTATGAATCCGGCCAAGCGACTAAATGCGGCCTACCTGATTGGTTCGTATGCAGTAAGTGCTCTACGACTTGGCAATGTCATTGATTAATAATGGGCATTCGAAATTGTTAACCATTTATTTATAATCATTGCCATCTATGGCCCAAATCTAGAAAAGAAACTTCCTTTTCTTTAATGGTTAACTCTTTTAACTCCTTGCTAACTAATCGAAAGTAAACTCTAACTAATCGTTTCTACTCATTTAGATCATCTACCTAAACAAAACGCCCCAGGAGGCATATCGGCCGCTGGTCGCTGGCGAGATTCCCCAATACACGCGATTCTGTGACGCCAGCTACGGACCCAGCAATTTCAAGATTTCACTGCTGGATTGCCTGAATGCTGTGCACAAGGGTTTGCAGGCGGGATTCTTCAATTTCAACGACTTCGATGCCGAGGAATACGAGCATTTCGAGCGCGTGGAGAATGGTGATTTCAACTGGATTGTGCCGCAGAAGTTTATAGCGTTTTGCGGACCTCATCAGAAGAGCAAGACATTGCCGAATGGTTACCCGTGCCATGCACCCGAACGCTACTTTAGCTATTTTCGGGAAAACAATGTCACGACCGTGATTCGGTTGAATGCCAAAGTCTATCATGCTTCCTCCTTTGAGAACGCTGGCTTCGATCACAAGGATCTGTTTTTCATCGATGGCAGTACGCCAAGTGATGCCATATTGAAGAAGTTCCTCTCCATCTGCGAAACGACCAAGGGAGCAATTGCGGTGCATTGCAAAGCGGGCTTGGGACGCACGGGCAGCCTGATAGGAGCGTACATAATGAAGCACTACGGGTTCACTGCCCTCGAGTCGATTGCCTGGTTGAGGCTCTGCCGACCGGGATCGGTTATAGGCCATCAACAGCAGTGGATGGAGGAGTAAGTCTTTTTTCATGAGAGTGTTATTTTCATAACTAAGAATTTCCCAATCTATATTTTTTTTTAGCAAACAAAGCTGGCTGTGGTCGGAGGGCGAACGAATGCGCCGACGCACTACACTCCCTATTCTTCGGCACACGTATGGGATCAACAGCCTGGAGCTGAAAACAAAACTGGGCTCAGTTGCCTCCGATTCGGCGGAGCATGTGGATCTGCTACTGACCCGCGTGAAAGGCATTTCCCAACGCGTAGATACGATGCACTTGCACGACCAGGACAACTTGGATGCTGCTTGTGTGGATCCAACGGATGAGGAGATCTCCGAGCAGCAGCGTTTGGAGCGGGACGAGCGAGCCTTGTACCAATCCACAGAGGATCCCAATTGCAATGGAAGCGATGACAACGATACGGACACAATCAGTGCACCAGCGGAGCAGCCGCTGTCCTCCGGCTATACAATATCCACACGTCGCAGGAAATCGCCATCGGGCGCAAATAAGCCCACAGTTATAGCCACATCGCTGAGGCGTCTGGTTAATCCCAATGCCAATCGAAGTGGATTGAGTACTGCTACTGGAGTTTATCCCGCCGCCGAGGTGGCCAGCTGCACGGAGAAGAAGTTGCGCAAGCCAAGTGTAAACGTCTTCGAGGCAGCTCGTCACACCATCGCCTCCACCGTCAGGATGACGCAAACGGCGCTCGAGAAGAAGCAGGCGCAGACGCAAGGCGACAAGTTGAACCAGATTAAGGCGCTGAGGAGACACCACTCGCGATCAGTCAACGTGAATAGCAACAGGTGGGTCATCTGATTTACAAACACCCTTAGATGCCACTTGTTTTGAAACAGCTTTGATAAAAAATATTTTAAATTAAATTAAAAGCTTGCAAAAGAAGGGAAATTCTTCCATTATTTTCTTATACAAATTTAAAATAAATACTATGACAACTTAGTAATGTCTAATAGCAATAAACAGTATAGTAATACATATAAAAATGAATTGTTCAAACGGTGTAAACTGAACGTAGTGCGACCTTCTTAATTAAATTGAATACTTCTTCCATTGATTATAAATAACTTTTCAAATAAATATTGTGTTATTTATCTGAAAAAATAATTGAAAACAATCTAAAATATATTTTAAAGCTGAAACAAATCGAGTGCATCTGAGGCAAATGTTTTTATTGTTTCTTACTTACATTTGATTTTTTATCCATACTTATAGCGAGCAGGAATCGAATGTGAGGCATACGAGAGCTCGATCCCAGCCCTTCCGGAATAATAACAACGGAGTGGTGGGGAATCCAGCGATGGCAACTATGAGGGCGGGACAGCCCACTTCCTCCTGTTTGCCAACAAGCACAGCGGCAGAAGCACTTTTGGCCAATAATCTCAACAACAACAACAATGGCAGCAGTATCGGGACTGGCAGCAATAACAACAACAACAACAATAATCTAAGCAATTCACTGAATAACTTTAACAACAACAACAATACCACTAACAATATTTTGGCCAGTTCAGGGAGCAGTCGCACCCGAAGTCTGGCGATATATAGCAAAAGGTAAGTACAGGATAATGCCCCTCGAATCCCAGAATAATCTTGAACTCGAAAACTCCTCGGAAAATATTATCGTTTTGTTAAAACTTGTATTGGACTTGATTTCGTTCCGTGTGCGTCTCTGCTTTTTTTTGAATTTATTGTACTAGATTTATATTTTCGTTGCTTTCCAAAACACTTTCTTTTTCCTTTACACAAACTTCCCTGTAAATATTTATAGATTTTTAGTAAATTTGTATACTGTCGAACTTTTTTAAGCTTAATTAAACAAATATTTTACGTTTTGGAGACAAAGATAGATTAATAAATTCTCCATTTTTGCAAATAACAATATGATTTCGATTTTAAAAGTTCGACTTGTCTTAGTGCCCCATACTTATGTTATTTGCACCAAACTAACCCAATAAGTTTATTTTACACCACTCCACTAACCAAATAACAATAATAATTTATTTTACTTTAGCTGCTAATATAGGTTTAAAAAATTAAAATTATTGTTTGTACTTAGCGTTTTGCATTTCTGTTTATGTGCATGCCAAAATTAAAAAATTATTCATTTTGTTGCGCAAAAACAATAATAATAAACATACAACTATCAAAATTATACCAAAAGCTTGCGAGATTTATTTGCAATGTTTTGTCTTTGTCTTGGCCTTGTTTATGTAGCTTTTATTTGCTGTACTTATGTTTTTTAAAGTATATTTGCTATGTTTTGGTACTATCCTTGCAGAGTTCGTTGTTTGATCAGTAGTTATACAATATTTGTCCGTATTTCAAATTATAATAAAATTTATTTAAATATATTTTTCAAAAATCTGAAATTTTCAAAAACAATTTTTTAAGTATCTTGGCTCTGCAAAGATGTATAGGTCTTCGGTTTTCGAAGCCATCCAGCCCCCCTAAGTCCCTTTTTTAAGTAAGATTGTGTTTTGGGACTCACACTGAACACGTAACCCGTACACCATCTCTCTTCTTCTCTTCTCTCGTCCTTTTTCTCTCTGTCTCCCTGGGCTTCTGGTTCCCCTGCTCCATCCTTAGAATGGAACTGAAGCACTTGCGAAAGGCGGAACAGCAGCATCAGCAGCAGGTGCAGGTGCATCCGGAGCCACCGATGCTGCCGGTGGAAAAGCAGCTTCTTCGGCCATATGCCACCATTAACGAGAGTAAGATACCCGTGGTGTCCGTTGGCAATGGTGGTGGTGGTGGTGGTGCCGGCAGCTCGGCTACCATTCCACCCACTAGGGGCAGTGCCGCGCGCACCTCCCATCACCACATGACGCTCCGGGGAAGATCCCGGATCCGTTACCAGCGACCCAATGCCGGGGAACCGGCTCCGGCAGCGGCCCAAACCCAACCGTGCACGGTGGCCACGGCTCGTTACTATCGGGACGTATCGGCCATACCCACAATGGGTGTTTTGGGTGGTGGTGGTGGTGCTGCTGCCGGTGGGTCGTCCTCTTCTTCTGCTGCCTCCTTTAACATTGCCACACGCTCCGCATCCGCCACGCTCGATCTCAACTCCAATCCGTTGCCGAAAACCAAGTTAACCAGCCTCAACAATAATCCAACAATTACCACACCTCCTTCCTCCTCCAATCCTGCAGACACAAGCCGTCTTAGTGGGCGTGGCAGTGCCGAATTGCAGGCGATCATCGAGCACGGCCTCGTAGCGGCGGCAGCGGCGACCGGATCGGCCAAGCGGAACAAACGATCGCTGAGCTCCACGCGACTGGACAAGGACAAGAGCGACGAGTACAATACGAAGCTGTTGAGGAAGACAGCGGCCGCCGCGGCAGCAGCGGCGTCCACAGCGGCGGCCTCATCGGGAGCAAGTGCAGCAACGGCAGCCACCAGCGGTTCCATCCATCCAACGCACTCTCACTCCTCCGCCAGCAGCAACATGAACAACAATTGCAAGTACAACAGCTGCAGCAGCAGCAACAGCGGCAGCTTCAAGCTCTCCCGTCGCCTTTTCGGGGAATCGGGATCCTCGGCCTCGACATCCGCCTCGAATTCGGGGATTCCCACGCCCACGGCACCGCCATCCTCCAGTCAATGGCATCAGCATCAGCACCTGGCTCGCGGCGTCAGTCGAGTGTCCAGCGAAAGGGATCGGGATCGGGAGCGACAGCAGCCTCTGGATCACCAGCAATCCAATCTCAAACTGCGGAAGAAGATCAGCTACTGAGCACAGTTAGCCCTGCTTTTGTAGATATTTTTTGGACTAGTAAATTGATCGTTGCTCATCAAGACAACCACGATTTCTTACGGGAGTGGCAAATGCAATGCTTTTGTTAACTATTTCAATGCAATCAAATTTGATGATTGATTAGAACAAATTTAATTTAGTTTTAAGCATTATCTCTTTTATATTCTTACATTTTTGTAGGTAAAATTTTTGAAATTGTTATACTATCAAAATTGTTGAATTAAATTGGCATTTTTCAAGTACGTAGGGTGTATGTAATTCAAAGGTCGATTTAGGCTATTTTACAAAAGTGGCATATACACTAGACATATATATATATAATTTGGAATAATATATTACGTTTCAATAATAAACAAATTGTTAAATTATAAGATACAAATTTTGCTTTAATTTGCATATAATTTGATTTGTTCTTTGACCATTTAAAATGATTCTGCGGAATTTATAAAGTGGTCACACATTGTATTTATTTAACATAATAATAATTTAACAAAAAGAAAATAGTTACTTTTAGTACCATTAATACTACAGCTTTTATTCCTATTAAAATGTGAATTTTGTTTACATTTATTTGATATATCTTGATGTACATTAAAAAAACATTTTCCAACTAGCTTATTGTAGTGTAGTTTTACAAGAAAGTTTTCACTTTGGTTATAAAAAACAATTAAAAACATTTTTTTGTTTAGTGGGTAGAGTTACCAACGACAATTGAATTGAAGCTTTTGAAGTTGTACTCTATTTCACTATGAAATTGTAATAAAATCTTTTTTAAATATGTACAATCAATTTGGAAACCATACTTTTTAGTCAACTATTTAAATTATTTAAATATAACTGAAATTTGTAAAAATAGTACACCAAAAAAGATAGACTCCCCAAATTTGATTAGCATTGATATGGAATTACAATACAAGCAAACGAATTTGACCAGTTTTAAATTACGGGGAATCACCAATCTCGAAGTTTAAAGTGCCATTTTTTTTTCAACCTTCCCCTTCAAGCGAGTCGCAACGCTTTAATCTATTTTGCCTTATTGTTGTTGTACAAAGTTTACCAGAAGACCTTGAACAAATCACTTTCATGTTTTACACCCACATATGTAAATTGATTGGGAGATTGTATTACCCAAATAGATTGTAAGTTACAAACAAATATGTGCATTATCTGAACTTGTTTAGAGTGTAAATACGAGACAGTTTACTTATTTGTAAGCCGACCTAGTTAAAAATAAATGTTATATACATATGTTTATTGAAAGTTATATAAGGATTAGATCAGCATTGTGCCGAAGTATTGTATTATCTGGTCGTAGACCTGGCTCTCCAGAGCCACAAACACGACGTCGAAATCACAATTCAGTTCGACACTCAGCAGGGGCTCCATTGATGTCGATTCCAAGGTACTAATGGAGGGTGTGATCTTCAAGGAGCTGAGAAGGCTCAGCGCCTTGTCCTTGGAGCTGACGTACTCATCTGAGCCGATGACCTCAAAGGCAGCTTGCTTGAGTGCTGGATAGAAGTTCTTGAAGTAGTTATGGCGATCGCAGAGGCGCAAACCCGTGTTGTCGACGCTTCCGGCGTCTGTGAGCTCCCTATACGTGTTGAACTTCTTCCGGCGCTCCGCCTCCAGATCCTCGAGAGTATCGTCCACTTCGGGACCACCTGCCGCCGGCTTAGTGCTCACCACCTGCATTTTATCCGGACGCAAGTTCTCCGCTTCGTTGGAGATCACGGCCAGCATTTCGATGGCCGCTCGCTGACGGGCATCCTTTTTCTTATCCGACTTCCCATAGCGAACTATGGAGGCCACGGAGCAGCGGGCAACGAACTCCGGGGCATTCGGAGTGCCACTCTGCTGCACAATCTCAATGGTGGGCAGTGGCATGTCGTGGCGCACGCAGTAATCGCGCAGCTCCTTCAGCATGTCTCGATTCAGATTGGTCAGCTCCTCGCACAGATCGGCCACCGCACTGGTTTCGCACTCCTCCAGCAAGCCACTCACGCCGGGAAGCTTCCGGATTTTACGCAGGATGTTGGCAGCAGCCAAATGCTTGGCATCGCGCTTGGAACGACCTTTAAATGATAGCAATCCATAAATGTACATATATACATTACGAAATTCAAAATCTTCTTGTTGGGTTTCATTTTACCATTTCCATAGGCTTCGATCTCCATCAGAACTACTTTACAAACATATCCTCCGTCTTCGCCATCAATGAAATCGTATGTTGGTGGAACGTTCTTGGATTTTGCACAGAATTCCTGTAGACAGGAAACGGCTGACTTATTGTCCATATCCTTTCTCTTCGGCAGATATTTCACAAAATTTCGATAATATCGAAAATAAAACGAACCGGCCCAATCACGATAACACGAATAAAAGTCACGGTTTGTGTGTAATAGAGATGTGAGAAAATCAAAGATATTTTTAAAAAATAAATAAAACTTATAGAAAGCCAACCGTATAATTTTAGACAGAAAATAGTTAATCAATATTATTGACAATAAACAATAAGAACGAACGAAAGAACGTTGAAAAAAATTTACTTTTAAAAACACCTACATAATTTGAAAACTAAAATAAAAGAGAAAACAATAAGAAAAGTTAATTAATTTAAAAATATAACAAATTTTTGTAAAAACATAGAAAATATCAAATTCGGATTGTGAATCAACTTACCCGTTAAAGTCTTAGACATGAAAACAAAAGTCATTAGCTGAGAGGCGTTTAATTGAATTGCGTATAGAAACCATATTAAAACACAATTGCACATCACCAGCAGGCTGGAAAAGATCATAAACGATTTTGCGGTGCAACTGTTCATTTTGTTATCACTTTCAAACTTCACCGTGTGAATTGTTATACATATTTCGTACACGTCACGTTGACACGAGTTGGCATCCCCGATAGTCAAGGCAACCCTGTTGCTGAGTGTATGGAATTAACAAGTGTTGCTGCCAGCGATGAGCAAAGGTCACTGGGTCGAGTCACTATTTAGGAGGTTGTTTCGAAGAAATTAAAGCAAAGTTATAGTTATATTCGGGTTCTGTGAGTGCCTAAGCAACGCTTTAAATATTTTTAACATAATATATGAAAAATATATCAAGCTTTTATATGTTACTCGCTTTTTAGAGTTGGAGCTTAGGTAACCTTAGTAAACTGTGACTTTAAAATATCTGCTACTTCCGACCGTCCCGTGATCCATGCTCATCACTGGCCACAGGTCAGAATCAAACGGAGACGAGTTTTTGATCAACTGCGGAACGTTTACTGCGTTTCATAATCAATACTTCTCTGCTGGCTGGCCAAACACCAAACTAAAACAGCTGGGAAAATCAAACAACAACAGAGAAAATAAAACCAAATCAAATGTCAAGTTCGGTATAAAAATAATAAAAGAAAATCCCAGGAAGTGAGGCAGTGAGACACAGTGGCTGCGAAAAATTGTGCCCGCTAGCGCAGCAGCGAAAACCCGTGGCCATTAATTAGCGATAGAAAGTTCTCCGATTTCCGGGGTCAACAAGATATGGAGGAGACCGCCTCACCCGCCGCCTCCCCGGCCGCCGCCACAGCCGCTGGCTGTGATGCTGCCGCCCGTGAAAAAACCCCAGACTCGCCAATCTCCGCCAGCGGTTCCAGTGTCCGGCTGTTGATTAAGTCATCCAACCAACAGTACGAGGATCTCAATGTGGACTCCGATCTCAGCTGGACGGTCCAGCGGCTGAAGAAGCAGCTGTCCCTGGTCTATCCTGGCAAACCGGTGGGTTCTCCATAATAATCTACATTTAAGAGCTCCTTATCTTATCGTGAAGTTTGTTATTGTTTATCATCTTCACTTAGCATACGTACGTACAATGTACATGCATACACACGTAGGTATTCCTGTGGGCTATTTGCGTCTTAGTCGCAAGTACACGTCAGTAGATTGCCTCTATAAATTAATGGCTCTCGTCATGCACTTGCGTCATGCACTTGGCCTATGCTGAATCGATGGCTTGGAAATGGGATTATATTGGTTACGGTTAGGAGTTGATAAGGTTTTTTTTTTTGGATACAAAACCTCATAACAATAAGATATCTTTACCAAAAATAAGCTCAGGTCATTTGTCTTATTGTTTACGTCCAACGTATTAATATCCCGCCTTATACAAAGTAAATAAACAGGAATTTTGAGTCGCTCTTAAATGCATTTTAATAAAGCAGTAATTAAATAAAGGTGGTTTTACTTAAATAAATAAATATACATATGTATTTAAGCATGAAGTTCAATTTCTAATGTACATATCGATTTAAATTGTGATCTATTCCCACAGAAAATCCAAGATCAAAAGCTGATTTACTCCGGAAAACTATTGGACGACTCTCAAAAGATATCGGAGGTGATACGCAGCTATAAAGATGTCTACCAGCAGCACCACATCTTTCATTTGGTGTGTGCCACCAAGCAAGTAATAACGCCACCAGCCAAAACAATCCCTGTGCCGCCAAAGGATGCAGTGTCGGTGCCGCAGGATGCCAGCGGGAATGCCAATGAGCTGCGACAACGTCATCCCACACAACAGCAAGCGACACAACAGGCCGGTGCTGCATCTCCCATGGCCGGTGACATTGGTTCAGCCAATCCCTGGGCGCTTTTCTGGCAACAAAATCAGGCGGCAGCCGCTTTTGCTAGTGCCAATGCCAATCCTCAAGCGATTTTCCAGCAGCAGGCGCTGATGTACAACGCTTGGATGCAGCAGGTCTACGCTCAGTACATGCAGCAGTACGCACTTCGGTAAGTTGGGATTATAAGGATGCCACATGTCATTTGATACTTCTACGACAGAATTAAAACAATTATAAATTTTTAATCTTTAGGACTTCCCGAAAAATTTTAGAATTTGAACAACTAAAGTCATATGTTTTATACCTAATTACTTCACTCATTTTAGTCATTTAACATTTAGGGTCTTTTAAAAGACCAAATTCCGATTAAAACGTATGTAGTTTTAAAATTTGTTTATTTACTCATTATTTGTAATCTTTTATTTTGTGCAAAACATCACGTACTAGCACATCCCAAAATATTTTTGCTTATCAGACTTGCCTTTATATAACTTTATTTGGTGTTTACTATTTGAAAACATTTTGTTTATAAAGTTTATAAAACTCGTCTTATTTACAGTTCTACGCTGCCTGGCTCGAACGGATCTGTTTTGCCGCCGCTGCCTCAAGTTCCGCTGATTGCTGCAAGAAATTTCGCGGTTGCACAACCAGTGGCAGGAGCAGTTGCAGCCCCACCGGCACAGGCTCCACCTGCCCCTCAGATAAATGGGGCACCACTTAACCGACCAAATTTCCCCAACATCCAAGAGGAACCCGAAATGCGCGACTGGTTGGACAGTTTCTTTAGCTTTACACGATTGGCAATTTTCGTGACTGTTCTGTACTTTAACTCCTCGCCGATGCGTTGCTTGCTGGTGGTGCTTATCGCAGGAGCGATTTATCTGTAAGTAAATGATTTTATTCTATGAAGTTAATTGCATTTTTAATTGATTTTGTTGTTTAATCAAAGCTCTCAATTGTAAGCACTTTTTGTAGGCATTTAAATAAGGTTTTATATGTTTTGAAATAAGGTTACATATATATATATTTTTAAATCATTTGTAATTCATCTTTAAATTACTTCCCACACACACACTAACTTCTCTTTTTACATTTTCTAGGTACCACATTGGTGTCCTCCGTCGTCGCCGTGAACGTAACAATAACAACATCAACCGTAATAATAACGCTGACGATGCGGCCGCCTTTGCTGCAGTGCAGCAAATTCAGCGAATGATGGATGCCGCTGTGGAGCGGGAGAATAACGATCCCCAGGCGGCCAACGAGCCTGGTGCAGTGCCAGCAGCAGGTCCTGCTGATGCTGCTGCTGCTGCTGCCGGACAGGATGCAGTCGATGCACCCGCTGCTGCTGCTCCTCCTGCGGCTGCTGCTCCCGTACCAGCATCCGCTGCTAATCCGGACGCGGCTGATCTTTCCGCTGAAGCCGTTGCCGTTGAACCACCAAATGCCAATAACTCTGTGATTTCCGTTGTGCGCACCTTTGTCATCACCTTTTTTACATCGCTGTTGCCCGAGGCGCCGGCGCTGTAGAGGATTGATCCTTGGGATCTGCAGTGGAGCCCGGTGGGTCATCCGCTAACCAGCTTTACGGCTTTCCTCTTTCTAACCACCCCTAATCAAAATGTTATTCCGTTTTCCTTTGGGTTTTGCATACCTGAAAATGTAGCAAAAACACACTTTTGTTTTATTAGCTGTAATAATTATGTTTATTTATTTTTCGTGCATGAGACGAGCTACGATTTCGTGGCCGCTGCTCCAGTAGATCGTAGAATCTTAGATAACTAAGAAAGAAAACAGTTTTTGATGTGAATAGTAAAATGATTACAATCTGCACTCAATTCAGTGCCAGAGACGAACCTATGAAACCAAGATGCAATTAATAATAAATCATATGCTTTAACACCAAAAAATCATATTGTAAAGTGGTGTTTACAAGGTGCAATTCTTGCTAGAAAAACAACATTAAACGTTTTATAAATTATTTTTAAGTCAAGAAAATAAATCACCACAAAATAAGTTTAAGAATACCACTAGACTGTTATTTTGGATGATTTTCAAATCATTGATTTCGTTTTTATAACATTTAATTTAAAATGTATAAGTTGTGAATTATGATTTGAAATAGAATTGTTTAAAACTTTTATTTTCAATAAAAATGTATAAAATATTCAAACCATAGTAACATTATCTTGATTGCTTTTTGAACACAGTTAAACATATCAATCAATGTTTAATGCAAAAATATTAATTTAAATAAATTTGATTGACATATTGTATGCTCTGAATAGTTAGTATTTGATTTAAAGCCTTAATGAGGCAATCTTTTCATACCTCGAAAAAGTGTGTAAGAATTGCATTGTGTAAACAGCGCTGAAGGAATTTTTCCAGGGTGGTTCTCTTAATTCGGGACAGCTCTCTCTTATCAGAGTGGAAAATTTTCAGCCCAAAATCGAACTGCGTTCCGGCTTCTCTACGGGTAAGTAACAATCTCTTTTCTGCTCTGCTAACGCACAATTGTGGTTTCTTTTTTCAGCTGCGATGAGATGCATGGAGAGCGAGAGTCCGGCTTATCACTGGATTTACGATGGGGTCCAACTGCTGATTAGGTGCTGTTTCGCGGGTCGTCTCCTCCGATGCCTTTAGAAGAGTGCCAGAGCTCGGAGCCAACGGATCGGATCACAACCATCCCAGTAAAGAAAACAAACACGACGAAACCAATTAAGTTCGCTTTTGATCTGCTGTCACTGATCCCTCAGAGCTGCCGAAACATGTGGCGAGCGATTCAACAGCGCGCAACAATCGCGCATCCGTTCACCAGACAACGTCATGTGAGTTGATTCACCTCCCCAACTGCATCCTCAATGATTCAATAGGAGCCATTGAAATGCCATTCATAAAATGGTCAAGTCCAAAATAATCCAAATAATATTCAACATAATTTTTGACAGTATTCTAAAGTTTGAATAAGTAAAGACGTTTTGAAAGATTTTTATCTCTTTTATTTAATTTATTTTAGCTTGCACTTTATGCTTTCTGGTACTTGGCCATGCATAAAATATAAAATATATATATATAAAATATATATTTATAATATTCTCTTTTTAAAAAATGTTAAACTTAAATTGATAACGCCAAACTCTGCCTTTAATTGATAAGTACAATTTTTCTTTGCCAGAGTGCTGTGATAGCAATTCGGCGAGAGGATCAGTCGGTGTGGGAGCGTCGAGCTCCTTTTGGACCCACCCATGTCCAGAAATTGGTCAAGCAGAATGTCAAGGTCATTGTACAGCCCTCCAACCGGCGTGCATATCCGATGCAGGTGAGAATACTTTGAAATTTTCCACTTCCCTCCATCATCCTTAGGACGTAATTTTCCATGGCCAGTTGGCAACGGATTTATTGAGTCTGTGGCTAATCGCCGCTGGAAATCATATCGGTAGCCAGGCCAGCAAGTTGTTGTATATGTAGTATATGGTGATACACACGCCCCCCAAGTGCTGCATCATAAATATAAACTCTCGGATGATAAGCCCCTCTACATGGAGCTCTAAATTTGGCAATTGATTAGCCTTGAAATCGAGTAGAAAACAAATGAGGAGGAGAGATTAAAGCAAAAGGAACCGAAGCTTATCTTTGGGAGCAATGATTCCAAGGAATCTATATAAACTATATATTCACCTGATTTGTAGAGATGATAATGATTTGAAAAGTGGGCACGTGAGAAAACAAGATTAAATAGGTTGAATGGGTAATGTTCATTAAACTATTTTGAATCGTTGGGAGGCAAAGTAATTATGAATTTAATTAATGAATTACAAAGTAAAAAATATTAAAATAATCAAATAAATTGCTTTGAACTTGAAATTATTTTTTGAAAAAAGCTTAGCAAGATAGGAAAGATTAAATGTTTTGATCCAAACAGTGATTACCACGGATTTTATGTATAGAATTGATAAGATAAGACTTGTCTTGACTTTATAACATTGCGTTGTTTTGTTTTTCTCAAACAGGCTTACATGAGTGCTGGAGCGCATATTCAGGAGGACATCAGTGATGCGTCTGTGATATTTGGAGTGAAACAAGTTCCCATTGATGCACTGATTCCATGCAAGACATACTGTTTCTTTTCGCACACCATCAAGGCGCAGGAATCGAATATGCCGCTTTTGGATGCTATTTTGGAAAAGGTTTGAGCTACTCTTTTGACATTAATAAAGTTTGGAACTAAATTTTTTGATAATTTTCATCAGAAAATCCGGCTAATCGACTACGAACGCATTATAGACGAACGCGGAGCACGACAGGTGGCATTTGGCAAGTACGCCGGAGTGGCTGGCATGGTGAACATACTGCATGGCATTGGATTGCGTCTTTTAGCGTTGGGGCACCACACCCCTTTCATGCATATTGGACCAGCCCACAATTATCGCAATTCTTCAATGGCACGGCAAGCGATCCGGGATTGTGGCTACGAGATTTCCCTGGGCATGGTGCCCAAGTCGATTGGACCACTGACTTTTGTATTCACTGGCTCTGGAAATGTTTCACAAGGAGCTCAGGAGGTGTTTTCGGAGCTGCCCATCGAATATGTCCCTCCCGAGATGCTGCGAAAGGTGGCCGAGCATGGAAGTGAGTATTGTTTAATCGGTTTACGGGGTTTAGAATGTCTTATCATCTCATCTTTATTGTGTGTTAGATCAAAACAAGCTTTATGGCTGCGAGGTAAGCCGATCGGATCATCTGGAGCGTCGTGAAGGCGGTGGATTTGATGCCAAGGAATATGATGAGTTTCCGGAACGATATATCTCTACCTTCAGCACAAAGATTGCGCCATATGCATCGGTTATTTTGAACGGCATCTATTGGGCTGTGGGCAGTCCCAAGTTGATCAGCATTCCGGATGCCAAGAACCTGCTCCGTCCGGCGAATACTCCCTGGTTACCCACTAGCAAGGGTAGTCCCGCTTTGCCGCATCGCATGTTGGCCATTTGCGATATTTCCGCTGATCCCGGCGGTTCCATTGAGTTCATGAACGAGTGCACCACCATCGACACTCCCTTCTGTTTGTATGACGCAGATCGGAACAAGGACACGAAGAGCTTCAAGGGACCAGGAGTTTTGGTCTGCTCGATTGATAACATGCCTACCCAGTTGCCAAGGGAGTCCACGGATTTGTTTGGTGAGCTCTTGGCACCTCATGTCCATGAAATCATCAAAAGCGATGCCAAGAAGCCGCTGTCGGAGGAAGAGTTCTCGTACCCCATTCAATCGGTAAGTCATCTTAAAAAAATTTCTTTTAATTATTTTAAAAATATATTATTTTAGTTCTCTATTTAAAAGATAATATGAAAACCATGAAGTCCATGGGATTGGCTTAATTCGCATTAACCAATTTTTTTTAAAGAAGGAAAAATGCTATAATAGATAACCTTTATTCTGTTAACAAATTTTAAATGAAATATGCTTTCGGTAGATGTCGCCAGCAATTCTATTCGCTCAACAGCGCATTAAGTCGAAAGCGCCATCTGTTGTGCAATACAAACATTCTTTTCTGACCTTTAGTTTCTTAACAATTTCTAAAATAATTATTAGATAAGACATTTTTTTGATGTGTCGATAGATATTGCTTGAATATTAAATTATGGAAGATGAAATTATATTTTCTATGTAGAGGTTATACAAAATGTATTTTATATATTATTAGTTGACAGTTTAGTTATATTAGCTGCTCTACCTAAAAGAGCTCAAATTCCTTAAAATACCACCCAATTATTTAATTTTATTAGATTATTTTAAAAATGTTTTAATGTTAAAATTTTAAAAACCCAAGTGCAAATTTCCCTGTTATCAGCATCTGTTATCAGTTGAGTAACTCCCTCCGTTTATTTACAGGCCATTATCGCCAGCAACGGTCAGCTGACCGAGGGTTTCCAGTACATTCAGGAGCTGCGAGAATCACAGAGCCACCGATCGCGCCACAAGATGGAGGGCAGGTCCGAGTCGAACAAGAAGGTCTTGGTCCTGGGAGCTGGCATGGTGTCCGCCCCCCTCGTGGAGTGGCTGCATCGCGAGAAGGATGTCAGCATCACGGTTTGTTCGCAGGTCAAGGAGGAGGCCGATCGCCTGGCTCAACAGTATGCCGGTGTGGACAGCGTGTATCTGGATGTGAACGAGAGCACTGGGCATCTGCAGGAGATGTGCGGCAAGGCGGATGTGGTGGTTTCCCTGCTGCCCTACAGTCTGCATGGAATGGTGGCACGCTATTGCGTGTCAGAAGGTACCCACATGGTCACCGCTAGTTATGTCAACGATGAGATCTCCGGCCTGCACGAGGAGGCCAAGGCCAAGGGTGTGACCATCATGAACGAGGTGGGCTTGGACCCGGGAATCGATCACCTTTTGGCTCTGGAGTGCATCCACGAGGTGCAAGGCAAGGGAGCCGTGGTTGAGTCATTCGTGAGCTACTGTGGCGGTCTGCCAGCACCGGAGCATTCCAATAACTCCCTGAGATACAAGTTCTCGTGGTCACCCAGAGGAGTACTTCTTAACACCCTGTCCGCTGCCAAGTATCTGAGTCGAGGCCAAATAGTGGAGATTTCTGGTGGAGGTGAGCTCATGTCGTGTCCTCGCAGTCTGGACTTCCTGCCAGGATTCGCCCTGGAGGGTTTCCCCAATAGGGACTCCACCAAATATGGTTCACTTTACGGTTTGGGCCGGGATGTGCACACTCTGCTGCGTGGAACTATACGCTATAAGGGCTTCTCCGAGTCCATCAAACCCATGCAACTTTTGGGCTTGATCGATGCGGAGCCACATGCCCTGCTGCATCCCAGCGGACCGGATGTAACATGGCGCCAGTTGGTCATCCATCTGATGGGCATGTCCGATTCGAGCATCTTTTACGAGAACCTCAAACAGAAGCTAACCGAGCGCATTGGCGATGTGGATGGCATTGAGAGCTTGGGTCTGCTGGACGACACCCCTGTGGTTAAGCTGAATACTCCGCTGGACACACTCAGCCATTATCTGTCCAAGAGATTAGCCTTCGGTTGGTATTCTATTTTATTTAATAATGTGGTAAACTCTATAATTATTTTACCTTCTGCAGAACGAGATGAACGTGATCTGGTGGTGCTGCGCCATGAAGTGGGCATCCGTTGGCCCGATGGTCGTCGTGAGGAGCGTGGCATTAATTTTGTGGTTTACGGACAGCCCCATGGACATTCCGCCATGGCCATGACGGTGGGCAAGCCGGCGGCCATTGCGGCCAAAATGATCCTAGATGGTGGGTTTCCCATACTTTTCCTCTTTTAAACCGTTTAAATAACTTCGAATTGTGCCTTTCCAGGTGAGATTCAGGAACGTGGAGTCCTGCTGCCCTTCACCCCCGACATATACCGCCCCATGCTGCAACGTCTGCGCTCCGAGGGTCTGACTGCCACGGAGACCTCCAGATGGTTGAATTAAGTAGTCTGAACTGATCCCGACCACACATCCTAGGCCTAAGTCTTCATTCATATATTTTTTTCTTTGACAGCCCATTGCGTCGTGTGAAATTTCTTGTCTTATTTATCGCTTGGGTTTTTTTTCGTTGTTCGATAAGAAAGTCATTACGTTATCTAAATACCGAAATAAGTTTTATGACTAGAGCGACATGAAGTGCGTAAACAAGTTGAAGTTGTGTTGTCGAAATTGTGAAATATGTGTTCTTTTTGTAAATAACTGTAAGTGTTGGCGGAAATTTTGATAAAAAAAAATAAAATATTTATGGAAAAAACACAATCGATCATTTGTTAACTATAGTTGATAGCATACATTTTTGTAAATGTGGATTCTGTTTAGGCTCTACAATGTATAGTTGAACCTATATTTAAAAATTACTTGAACTTATTAGCATTGTAATCTTTTTCGGACTGTATTAGATTTATTGTTTGAATTTTCCGTGCCCGTATAATCTTCAACATTCGATTTCCGTTCGATTGGCCTCCGTAGCGCCTGGCAACCCGATCTGTGATGGGTTATCTCCCGAACTTGAACTAAAATTAAAAACACGGCTTCGATCTAAATTTAGTGTTCTTTTAAACACGCGCATAAAACAACATGATGATCCGATTGGATTCGTTTACGGCGGGTCATTAGCGTTTATAATTGTAATAAACAACAGGCCACAAATCTCCCTGAAATTATTGTCGCTCTGCCTGTGGAAATTGTGGAGCCTGAGCCTGATAACCTCTCTGCCGGGCAGTTATTTTGTTGCCCATCGAGTCGGAGCAATCTATTCGCGTTTTACAAATTTCAATTCACATTCATTCAATGCAAATACACAGACACTATCGCCAGATAAGATTGTGTGCGCTAGTGATGCCAACTAAATTTAGTACAAATAAAACTATTTTCTAAATAAAATGTTTTAAGAAAATATCTAAATAAATGCCTAAAGTTGACAAATCAAAAAAAATTTAAAAGAATCAGAAAAGTTTAGTTTTAAAGCCATCATTTGATGTACAAAATAATTTATAAACATTTGTTAATAGCTGTTTTTAATAATGCAAAAACATATCAAACCCATAAGGCAGATCCAAAACCAAACATTTGAAATAATACTTAAATTTAAACGCGACTAAATATCAAAAGCTTACAAGAACAGTCTATGAGAAAAATTAGTTTTAAGATATGGCCTTCAATTTTGGTAAAACATATTTGAATGGGAACGAATGTGAGCCAAAAACCACAACTACAACTTTTCGAATTGTTGTTACTGGATAGGTTGTTTCGCCGGAAAACCCGGATACGTCCGGAAAAGTCCCAAATCGTCAACACTAGTGCTGTGCGCACTGGGATTTGTTTTTGTGGAACGTAAGTCGCAGTCGGCGTCACGAATTAAGCGCTGGGTCTTCAGGCCTGATAAGTCCGCAGTTCCCATTCAGACGCCGGTCTGTCCGGAATATATATTCCGACTTCTTTAGCTAATTCATACGTCTGCGCCGTCGTCTCCGTCCGGTTCTTCTTCTTTGCCAGTTATTCGAGTGCAAGAGTAACTGTTGTTTGCGTGCTTTGCGTGCAAGAGAGCGGACAAAACGATTATTTAATTTACCCGCATTCCGCTTTTTTTAAGCGGCGGGCCGCGTGTGAACGAATCCGAAAATCATATATACATATATCTGTCTGTGTGTAGATCTGCAGAATGTTATACAATATGCCGGAGTAACCATCTGACCCAAAACAAAGGTCAAGCCGATACGCGCTAATCTAACTTCCGATCCAAGTGCAAACTCCTCACCATTTTACTTGCTGTCCCCCCCCTCTCTCTCTCTCTCTCTGTTATCACTGTTTTTGTTGCTGTACTACTAGCTGGTGGAACAGTGAAAACATATTAGAAAAGTACAAAATTCAAATTACAAAATGGGTTGCATGCGCTACTTGTCGGAGGCTCATTTGAGGGGCTTCGAGCGTTACAAGGTGAGTTCTTCCAAAAAAGGGGGGTGGGCGGACTTTTGAGGTGGGTGGTAAAATCAATGCTCCATTTCAGTAACACCCTCTCCTACTTCAGTAAATTGGTATTAAATTATAAATAAGGCACAAACAATGAAACATTCTCCAATATCGATTTAACCCACTTTCTCTCGATTTTTCATTGCACCTTAGAAACCTTTCGTTGAATTCAAAATAATTCAAGTTTCCTCAATTCCTAATGGATCCTCACTCGGTTATGGCTATTTTGCCAATATGAACTTCATTAAAATACATATTTTAAATGGTTACATTTTAAACTTTTTTTTATTTTAATTTTGGTAACACCTTGGTATTTAAAATTGTTAAACTTTGGTTAAAAAGTTTTGGGTTTTCCATAGTGAGTCACTTTTAAAACCAAATTGGTTTTTAAAATCACATTTAAAAAAAATATTTTAAATAAAATTTAACTTAGAATTGAAAAAAAAATTTCAATTTAAAATCGTTTTATTTGAACTAGGATTTAGTTACTGACCTGAAGTTCCTAAAAAAGTCTTATTACACCGAGAGAAAAAATAATATCAGAGATATTGACTTTTAATTAATGCCAGACAATCTAGTCTTAAAATAATAAAAAATATGCCCTTACAAAATACATTATGAAGAAGATTATTTTGATCCTGATTGCTTACTATACCCGCATTACATTTTAATTCTCTGTGTGTGTAGATTATATGTCTTATCAGACAACGTTTTACTCTAGTTCCGGTTGAATTGCCTGGCCATATTGGGCAACCTTTAATTTGACCATCGCCGTTTAATTCCATTTATTATGTATCGAAATTTGTACTATCAACATTTTAATACTTTGTTTTACTAGTGTAGGTCATCAATTAAGTGATAATCAGACTAAACAAATGTTTCGCAAACGTTAGAAAGAGGCATTGAACTGTCACGAAGCCATGTGCTGAAGCTTTCAAAGATAGTACGGGGATTTGGTGGAGCGGGTTGGGTTGCTGACTATCAAAAGTGGAATTTGTACTTGTAAAGATTACAACATGAAGAGACAATGAAATGAAGGCCCACAGAAACAGGGGAAAGTGCGGAGATTAATCGCATTAATAAACAAGTAGTTCAATAAAATCTAACGAAACGAAAGTAAGAGTAGTTTTCAAGAACTTGCTAAGGTAGTAATCGATATCTTATCAATTCTTAATATGTAAAACCTCTTTAAGCTAATTGGTTGTTATCTAAAACGGTTGGATATGGTTTTAATAATTAAGACGGGATATTTTTATATATAAACCCAACAGTCAAATGTTTAAACAAATTGGAATGATTTGAGAAAAATATTACATAGCTAATTTAAATGGTTTTCAGTACTTAAACTAAATAAATGTTACCTATCACTCATTATTCATTTTAGATAGAAAAAATATGCTGCCACTATTGTAGATTTTAATTAAATGTGCCACAAAGAAATAACATATAGTGGATAACCCCCTCGCGTAGTAGTACAGATTTTAATTAACTGTGGTACAAAGAAATGGTTTTAATCAATATCCTTTTAATTATTCCGTAGTACAACAGCATTGACACGAGTTTTCTTAGTGTCTATGTGATGCACCCTTTCTGGAACTACTGTGTAAAGGTAAGCTATTTATACTTTATAGAATGTATACATTTTAATTCACACACAATATTCCAGTTTATTCCCAAATGGCTGGCGCCCAATGTTCTGACCTTCGTGGGCTTTCTCATGACTGTCGTCAACTTTATATTGATAGCTCATTATGACTGGGGCTTTACAGCTGCCAATTCAGAGACGGGCAACACAGTGCCCGCCTGGGTTTGGACAGTGGCGGCCATAAATATACTTATTTACTATAACTTGGGTAAGTTTGGGTCACATAGAATAAGTAAAAGACATTGTTTTGTAAACAATTATCATACTTAGATGGCATGGATGGCAAGCAGGCTCGCAGGACTGGAACGAGTGGACCTCTGGGGGAGCTATTCGATCATGGATTGGACTCCTATTCCGCTGCCCTGATACCCATTTACCTATTCTCCCTTTTCGGCACAAATGATTTGCCACCGATTCGCATGTTCTTTGTGATCTGGAACGTATTTCTCAATTTCTATTTGACGCATGTGGAGAAATACAACACGGGAGTTATGTTTTTGCCCTGGGGCTACGACTTCACCATGTGGGTAAGTAAAGCGAATACAATTTGTTTTTAAAACAAATTTTCAAATTAATTTTTCCCTATTTTCTATATCAGGGTGTTAGTGGCATGCTGTTTGTGGCAACTGTCTTTGGACCTGAGATGTATCGCTTTAGCATGTATGGTTTTACTGTGGCCAATATGTTTGAAGTAGTTCTTATTGGTTCCGGCATGGTCAGCAGTCACCCTATTATAGCTAGAAATATCTACCTGTGAGTTACTCAATACTCAACTATTGTTAAACAAAATTGGTACTTAATTTATTTTATTTAAATAATTTGTAGTTCCTATAAAAACAAGACGGGAAAAATGCGACCTATTTGGGAAATGCTGCGTCCCTTCTTTGCGTTCTTGTGGCTTTTTGTGATCACTCTAATCTGGTCGTTCTTTTCTCGCAATAATGTTATCAATCTGGAACCACGTATTTTATGGATACTCTATGGCACAATATTCTCAAACATTGCCGTAAGTCTTGGATATTTTGTTTCCTAATTGGTAAAAAATTAATAACTCTTCTAAAAATTGTAATTTTAAGTGCCGCCTGATTGTGGCCCAAATGTCGGACACGCGTTGCGATGCCTTCAATGTGCTCATGTGGCCATTGGCCGCCACCGTGGGTGTCTGCTGTTTTCCCTATTACCAGCAGGTTTTCGACACGGATCTCTCGCCAGATGTTGAACGATGGATTGTCCAGGGTCTCACAATCTTCTCAACATTAGCCCACTGGCATTACGGCTACGGTGTGGTAAGTTTGTTAAATGCCTAATACAACTATCTAAATTATAAATAATCTTAAAAAAAATCGTTTCCAAGATTTTATTTTACCTTTTTTTAAATGTATTATTATTATTTTTTAAAATTTGCGGATGCTACAAAATACTTATTGAACTTTACTTATAACAACTTATCAAAATGATTATATAAAAATATTATACATTTTCAAATATTATCCATTTTTAGGTCTCTGAGATGTGCGACCACTTCCACATTCGCTGCTTCAAAGTAAGAAAATCTAGCAGCCAACCTGGTTCAGATTTAACTCAACAACTTCTACAAAATGATAATAACATCAAAACGTTGAAAAGCCATTGAAACTAAATCGCCCACTAACCAAAATCACATCAATCAAAAAACGGGGACAACCAAAATCAACCATCTTGTGATATATAGTTAATATATACATATATATAAATGGGTTCCAAAACATTTAGCCCTCGCCTAAATTCTAGGTTCTAAGTGGTCCATACTCAAATCAAAACACTAAACCGATACTCGCCCCACGCGGTTTCTAATGTGGTAAAGTCCATATGAAGATATTATGTAATCAAAAACCTAATCGTAGGCTAAGAACCTAATCGTACTTAACTGTAGGATTTAACTAAGTTAAGTGCATGCCATGAGCGAACTTCGTAGCAAATTTAACGAGCATGTTGATATATATGTATAGCAGCGCTAACTGCATGATCCGATAAGTATTATGTGCCTGAAGACAGCTACTAAATGTAGTTGTATAACTATGATAATGCAAAGGCTATGTTGACTGTACCGCCCATCGTATTGTAATTTTCTGTAGATCACGAAACCGACTGTCGCCGCTGAGCAGGAGCTGCAGGAAGTTGTTGAAGACGCCAAGCCCGCGGAAAACGTTGAAGAAGTCTAGAACTAGAACTGGCCAGTTCTTCAGTAATTGTGTTGTGTTTAAACTATAAAATCGTTAACTAGGTTCAGTTGTTAAGACAAATCAGAAGTGTGTTTAGCGTAAGTTCGAAATTGAAACGATAATATATTTGTTACTGTTAGAGAAAGACCACTCAATTAATAATTGCTAATTTTTAGGTAACATATTTAAATAAAAGGTATTTTTTGCAACGCTACCTAAGCTAAATTAATTGATTAAATTTCAAAATAAAAAATATTTCCTATAGATTTGAAATATACAAACTTCCGCTAATAGAAAAATCTAAACTTCTTTAGTATTAGCTTACATTTTATTTAGAATGCAACTGCCAGTGAATATATGAAAATAATTTAGAGAAATTTCATTATCTTACATTATAAACATAGCGCGCGTCATGGAGATGGCTCGATCCCCTAGTTCAGCAGCAGTTGGGCCACAATGCTGTTGTCATCCGCCGGATTGGCTGAGTGCAGGCCGGAACCGCTTTCCAGAAACTCGCGCAGCTCGTTTTCCAGATCGCCACCGCCATGCTGCTCATCCGCCTCGTCGATCTCCATGGCCACCTGTGGCAACTGGGGCAGCGCCACCGGCTGTTGCAGCAGCTCGGGCAGCTGGACGCGCGGAGAAACGGGTCGTGGTGGCGGCAGACCAGCTGGTATAACAAAAAGATATATTTAAATTGAAATATGATCAAAAGCTTTGCATATTGACTTACCGTAGGACATGCCCATGGCCTTGCGCAAGGCATAGGGATCGGCAATGGCAGAAGGCGGCAGTTTCTTGGCCAGATCGCTGATTTGCTGAGTCAATTGATGGGCGGTTTGGGCCTCCTCCTGACCAGCTGGCTGCACTAGTCCCAGATGATTCGGCAAGGGCTGTGACAAACGATCATGCTGGGTCACCCGCAGCTTCTCAATAAGCGTCAAGTTTTGACTGAGGTGTTCGTGCATTCGCCTGTTGAGCTCAAAATTCTTCATTTCGGCCTCCATGCCGTCCAAGAAGCTCATATCGATGCCCAAATCGCCGAGAGATTGCAATCGTTTGAAGTCCACAGGAGTGTTTTTGTATTTCTCGTATTCTTGCTCGATTTGCTCGGTGGTTTCCTGCTGACAAGCGATTTCCTCCTGCTGTTCAAAGCACTTTTGAATCTCGCTTTGCTCGTACGAATGCAATTGCATGTTGTAAAGCTCGTCCAGGGATTTGCTGTGCTCTCCGTTGGTGAGGATATCCAGCAGCCCATTTGCAATAGTGGTACCATAGCTAGAGTCCTTAGTGAACTGCAGGATGCTCTCCGCATATTCCGCACTGGAGGCATCCCCGTATGTGCGCAGAACTAACTGAGTTTCTTCGGCACTCAAAGTGGAAAAGCGGGAATCAAAAGTGGGCGCAAAACTGGCAAAGGCACCATAGCTCAACGGTTTCACTGGCTTCATGGCATTCCTCTTGTCAACCTGCCGCACCTGTAGCTGCGTACTTCCCGTTTGCAGTTTGCCCACCAGATCGCCAATGGTCACTACCTTTTCAGGACCCTCGTTCTCTTCTTTGGTCAGAAGATTCAGGGTGGTGCTGCCGTCCTTGTTTTGTCGCAGGAAACCCATCTTGTGGGCATTTTTCTTGGCAATAACCCTCTGCTTTGCCTGTTGTGCGGCATTTTGCACTTGCGCTAGTATCTCCTCTCCCGTTAAATCGTCTACAAAAGGCTCGAAATGTGTTTTTGGGGCATTCTCCAAGCGGAGAGCCCGCTTGCGCTCCTCTTCCTCCAGTTGGGCAGGAGTGGGTGGCTCCTCTGCTCCCGTTGAAGCTCCTTCGTCCGCCGAATCATGCGTTTCCCGTGACATTTCGTTGGAACTCAATTCGAATCCTAGTTCTTTAGCAGTAAGCTCCCTCATATAACCCGACAGTGGTTTAAGGCTTCTCATCAAATTCTCCGGCTGTAGATGCTTCATTCCCACCTGGAGCAGTCGCTTAGCTGCCTTGTTATAGACCGTATCCACATGGTTGTACTTAATGGCATTCTCGCACATCAGCTTAAAGTCATCACTAAACTCCGTCAAAGCGGCATACTCATGATCATCGATCTTTTGTCGCATTGTGGAGAAGTCCATGGGCTTGCTAATTATGGAGGAGTAACCGGGTGCCATGTCATCAGTCACTGGCCAGGCGAAGAACTGGTGGGGATCCCGCTTCTCCAGGAAGCGCAGCAGATGCTCCAGCAGCTTGTTCAATGGCGATTTCTGCTGCTTCAGCTTAAGCACACAGCTCCGGGGCTCTCTGCCCGACTCACTGGAACTGCTGGGCGTCTTTGGTGCCTCCAGAGTCTTGGGCGTAAGAGCATTTTGGGAGCTAGCACCGCCTGGCGTTGATGGAGAAGGTATCAAAAGCTGGAAAAAGTAATACCTTGTAATTGATTCGGGTAAAAACTATTATTTTGGAGTCACTCACATCGGGCAAAGGCTTGGTTGGACTGCTGCCCACCAATCCCAGTGAGGAGGATTGCAGGGACGAGGAGTTGGGCGAGGAGCCCATCAGGATATCGTCCAACTTGCGCGGAGCAATGGGCTTGGTCACTGGGCAATTGGACGGCGAGTTATCTGTGGTGATGCCCGCAAAGAACAGGATATTCTCGGGCAGCGGCTGCGACTGATCGTCGTCCATGAAGCTAAAGCCATCCTGACTGGAATCCGGATCGACGGCCGGTGGAGCAACCGAAGGTGGAGCAAAACCACTGCAGGCGGCATCGTCGGCACTCGGGACCATATCCTCATCAGCTGAGCCCACATCCCGATGGCGATCCCTGCTTCTGTGGCGCTTCTCCTTGTGGTGCTTGTGCTTCTTCTCTCGATCCTTCTTCTTCTTCTTTTTCTTGGACTTCTTGTGGCGCTCACGATGAACCTGGTTCTCCTGGAGTTCCTCGGGAACGGGCGACATCATGGCCTCGGCGGCAGTGGGCGGTCCTCCGTCCACCATTGGCGAATTGGCACTGTACTCTGGCGTGGCATTCGATCCCACCTTGAGGATAAGCTTCAGTCCTCGCTGCAGTTGAGCCGGATCCTGGTGCTGACTGTATTCTGTATAAAATGGGAAAGATTCTTGTTGTTAAACGTTGTATGTACAGATAGTGCTACAATAAAACAACCAACTAATAAAAGCCTCTGGTGTTCATTGCTCTATATTCATAAATATTATTCATTTAATTTTAATTTTATAAAATTTAAGTTATAAACAATAGTTAATAGCTCACAAAATCTTTATTTATAAACAAAAATTATGGCCACAAAAATTACTTTTGATTTATTTTAGTTTTTTGTGCACCATTATTTTTCTTTGTGTATACATGCTCAACAACAAGCGGCAAAACGTTAGAGCGAGAAGGCACGTACCAGCGGGGCTCACGACGACGAACCACTAAAAGCACTTACCCTCATATTTCTCGCGTCGCTCGGACTTGTTTTTCTTGTGTTTCTTTGAGGAGCCCATCTTGGGCACACAAAAGTCCTAAAATTAAGTAAGTCGTTGGCAAATGTACGCAAAAAAGCGAAAAACAAAAATCCGGTGACGAAAGGCAGACGCTAGAGGTGGAAATACATCAATTAGAGGTGGAGAAACATCGATGGCAACATAGATGTCATCGATGTTTTCAAAACATCGGTCTTATCGATGTTTAACAGGGCAACATCGATTTTTTTCCATCTCTACTCTGCTTTTCCCTCTGCCGCAGCGCTGCCCACTCATAACATAGGAATGTTAGGAAATAGATGATCTAACATAAAAATGTTACGAAAACGACGATTTAACGTTGCCGTTACAAAATCGACGATTTTGAAAGAGTGAGAAACTAAACAATTAATCAAAAAATATAAATATCACAAAAAAACATGAATTCTCCCTGAACTCTTTCGCGTTCATTCACTCTTTATCAACTCAGAAATAATTAAAACGGTAAAGGATTATTGTTCTCACCGTTAAATTTTAATTGAAAAATGTTACAAATTTAGCAAGTATTCATCACTGCATTTTTTTCCCATGGCTTTTAAAGGACGTGGCGCTTGAGGATGGGGGTCTTGTTGACCAGGACGCTCTGTCGGCTCATCGGAATGCCAGAAATCCTGATTTTTCGCTTGCCACCCGAACGGCGACGGGTCGGGGTCACCATGTTGTGCGATGGCTTTGGTTGGACGTTGGCCTTTTTGGCACTCTCCTTGTTAGTACCACTGAAAAGGGTGCGAGTGGAGTTCAAGCACTGCAGGGACGTGTCCAACTTGGTACGAATCTTGTCCAGATCGGCCCGCATCCGCTGGATATCCAGGACAATGGTCCGTCGGTCATTTTGCAATTTCTTGTGCTGCTGCAGCATGGTCTCCAGCACGGACTTTTGTTGAATGACCTCGCGGATCCGGTTGTGCTGATCAAAACCCTTTAACTTGGGCGATTTCTGGTTCAAGCTGGCCTTGATCGCCGCCAATGGTTTGGCTTTGGTTCTCTTGGCGACGCCTTGGACACAGCTCGTCCTTGAGGAATTGCCGCCACCTTTTATCCTGCCCGATTTGCTGCGTTTTATATGCTTGTGCACTAAATTCGATGGCAGTGGTGGTGCTACTCCTGGCGTTTGTACTGGAACCCCCGCTGTGGGCACCGGCGCCGTTGGACGAGGTCTCCGAGGTGATCGAACCGCTGAAGAAAAGCGATTTAAAATAAATATATTCCAAACATGCAACACCCTAGTCTTTATTTATTTTTAATGTATTTAAATATAAGCCATTGCTTGCCAAATATTTAAGAACTTAACAGTATAATGGAATTTCATTTTATAAACAAAGATGATCTTTTCGTTCTCATAGAAAGCTTAAAGTAGGTTTTAAACTGCCTATAGTTACGTTTTTATAGCTAAAATTCTATTTTAGTTTACTATTAAGATACGCTTTAATATATACAAAAAAATATAGATAAAAATAAAACTTTTTTGCTTTTGGAGTTTTTATAAAAAAAATCAGAAATGTTTGCGAATTCTTCAATACTTTATAAAGCTTACACTTCATGGTCGTATGAATCCTTGCCACCATATTATCGTAGGTCTTGCGAGTGTCGGGCATCAAGTAGCGACCCGGCAATTGGCTCGATCTCAGCGAGGCCTTGATCCTGTCCCTCCTGCTCAACTGCGACAGCCTGCACTTGGCAGTGTCCTCCTGCTCCCAGCCCTTCCGCAGCTGGGTGGTCAGGATGTGATGCAAGGCCAGCCGATTAGTCATGGTAACGTTAATGGGGCTAGTTAGTTAGTTGGCGATTTGAAATTTTGTTAGCAAATTTTGATGGCCAAAGTGGTCGAAAGATTAGGGAACTTATAATTTTTTTAAAAACGATTCCTCATTTTACGATTGTAAATTTAGTTTTGACATAAACTGGACATTTTTGGCTCAGGCAAGCATGATCTTAAAAAAATATCATTTTAAAACGGAACTATACGTATTTATTCTTACAATATAAATTTTGTGGTTTTCATTTAAATAGTATTATTTAAAGTCCAAATAGATTCCGGACTTAATTCACTTTAAAATAATATTTGAATATTGAAAATCTTAAATAAAAAATAGTTATAGTAGTTTAAAATTTAATTTTTAACAAAGAAGAGTTTGGAAATGACAACTTTAGCTTATGATACATCAATAAATCTGGAGGCGTAATGGAAAAGTGGCTTGTAAAGTCAAAAATACAATTTTTAAAAAGTTTTATTTTTTTAATATTTATCTAAAAAGTTCCGAATAATTTAACAATTTTTTATTTTGTCTAAAACAATTGAAAGATGGCTAAATTGATTTAAAGTTAGAAAAACTAATTTAGAGATCAGTCTAGAGATGACTGTTCATGTTCTTCCGGGCCAACTGGGCGTAGATTGTGCCGTGTGGCTTATCCACTGGGATGAAAACTTCGTTATTATCGCCAGGAGTAATTTGCTGGAACGGCTTGGTGTCAAAGTTGAAGTAGTGCTTATTGGGCATGGTCATCGAGATGACCGACACTTGCGGCAGGACATCCAGGACCTGTCTTTCACTTAGATACAAGGTGTGCTGGACGGAGGGCGAGGACACGCCCACCTGCGGATCTCCGGCAAAGTTTCGGATGATAATATTTTTCACCGTCTGCCAGGCTTTCAAGAAGTCCAAACTATCGGTATCAGAATACTCCCAGGAGCAGTCGATCACAGTGCTAAAGATCCGATCATATTGATCAGGCAGAGATCTGAACTCATCGTTCACGAAGTTAACAAATGAGGATTGTGTTGTCTTCAGTACTCGTAGTCCCTTGATTCCGGTGATGACCGTTTGTTTGGGATCTGCGGGGAATACAAAGAGTTAATTTGAATGTATTTTGTAGAAAATTAAAAACTTAAAATTATGTTTTTATATTTTACATATTTAAATATTTTTTTAGTTTTATTAAAGGTAAATAACTTTCCAAAAATTTATAGTTTGAGTTTTTAAAATATTTTTTTGTTCTCAAAAATGTTTATAAATTTTCAAAAATATAAAGGTATTTTTTTATTGCAGGGTTAAGGACTAGGTTATTTTTACTTTTTAAGATTTTGTTGTAATATGTATAAATAGTAAAAGAAATTTAAATAAATTGTTTAGAATTTAGCTAAGTAAGCCTTTGTATTATTTCTAGTTTATTTTTCGTTTTCATAATGAGATAAGATATTTTACTAACCTGTCCTCCTCAAGACCACATCACAGTAATGCTGGGCGGTGGGCGTGAAAATAAAAGCGTGATTGTGCAGTGATCGGTTGTCGATCGAACTGAAGTCGCAGCTTCCCTTGTCTCCCTTGTCGCAATTGCCATTGAGAATGGTTTTGGTCTCATCCTGACAGACTCGTTGCCAGGGATAAGCCTCCACATGGACGTGTGCCTCCTCCACATGGGAGTACTTGTTGATGAAGTGCCTGGCCAGGAGCAGGGCAAACTTCTCGGGACTCTCAATGCCATGCTTTTTGGCCAACAGATACACGGTATTCTTTTGCGAATCCGTGGCCACAATGTCCGAATTGTTGCCCTGGTAATAATCTTTTTTGCTGTACAGCTTCAGGTGAGTGCCCACTTCGAATTCCTGAATGCTGTGCACAGGACCATTGCGACTGACATGCAGAATCTTAACCGCATCCTTGCCATACCCATGATCAGTGATCTCGTACTGAAAGGGCTTGTCATGGCCATCCATGCCATCTGACTTCTTCTGGCTCTGGCTCATGGCACTGGGCTGTCTGAGGGGCGTGGCAAACATTCTGACTGCAGTCACTCTCACTTTGCTACTGATGCCCATTTCACTTCCATTGCCTCGTTTTATAGTGGTATCACGTATGATAGTATCACGTATGCAAGTGTACCAAGGGATTTCGCTGGCGGATTTCGTGGAAAGCCAGTGCACTACTCGCGAACTCATATATCATCACTCTCACTTAGGGGATTTGAGATCTTACCCGAATTGCGGCTTCTTGCGCAAATAATTGAGATTTCGCGTCAAAGAGTTCCAAGGTCTGGTCGCCTGTTGTCATGTTTTCTATCTCCAAAACTTTGTATCTTTTCAGCTCCTCATGTTTCTTATCAACAACTTTTTTTTTACATTCTTTTTTTTAAATATAAGCGTAATAGCAGTAACGAAAACGATTACGCCATCTCTTGCACAAGGAAATTGTCAAATGATATTAAAAGATAAACGAGTGAAACGAGTGAAACGCATGCCCCAGAAATAAGTTTTTAATAATAATACGATAATAATAAGATAGCTTTTTCTCAAGATAAGTACTAGTCATATTATTACAGAGGTAATGGTTTTATTATAATTATTATTTCACAATATTGGGAAACACATTATGGTTTTACCATAATAATACAAATATACACAAAAATAATTCTGATGTTCTGATATTGAGTATTTAAATTACCAACATGATACTGTATTGTAAGAAAATAAATGATATTGTATTGTAAAATAAATAAATACAAATTTATTTCGATTGATTCATCTGAATAAGTATGTAAAAGGCATCAGTTTCATATTCTGCTAAAATATAATATATTTAAATACAAAATGAAACTGTTCAAGCAGTAGCGAATTCCTTCGCTAATAATAAAATTAAAATATTTATATTTTTATTATTGTTATATATGAATTTAATATCAATAGAACAATATTTTTTGTCAGCTTTGCATGTGCTTTAAACTTTATATCTGTTTTATCAACGGATGTTATCTCAGTGTTAAGCCAGTTAAAGCCATTATACAAAAGAAGAAGATATGGCAAAAGTTGTTTTGGACTCTTGTGACCACTCTGTTTATTACCCACAAAATCTGTCTTTCTGGCTTAAGCCATTTAAAACTATTCTAAGCGGGAGCCGTGGACCTCCAGCGAACTGACTTAGTGATAAGACAGTTTAAGCCAAAACAAACACGGGCAGCAGATCTCTGAAGAAGAGATATTTAAATATGTTTTCAAGATCTGTTTGTTTGACACGGTTTTATGGGGGCGTGCCTTAAATGCACAACACGCTCCCACGACCAAACATTTTTGTATTTCTTTGTTGGCAAGTTATGTAAGTTCCGTTTGTGGCTATTGGTTTAAGTTAAACTGAAGGAAGGAATTGAGGTGTCAGTGTTTGCCAAGCGAGAGTTATATTAAGAAGAGATAATAAAATTTACATTCATACACCTTTGGTTATGTTGTTATTGCTAAAACTAAGAAAACCATAATATTTACTGCTACATAAGTAGTTCACAAAAACTTTATTACGATAGCTTAGTTTTTTAATGTTCTACTGTAATGATAAACTATATGATCGTATGTTGGCATATCATAAATGTGCTGGGAACCCCATTCTTATGATTCATTACCAAATACCTTCCGCCTGGAAATCAAGCTAATGGATTGATAGTTTTGTGAAGCTTTTGGCACCTCAAAGACATGTTGTCCATCAGAAAGTTTGGCCCGAGGTTCAGTGAACTAAAATGCCGCTTATGAATGAGAGACATGAACAAGTGAACGCTTTTGTTGCGACCATCTCAAACAAAAGTGCAAATTGTTTTCCAGTGAAACCTGCGACGCGCCCATGTAAAATGTTATTTTTTGGCAGGCAAACACGGGTGTTGAGTGAACCGCAACGATTTAGTTGCGATTTTGAGCGTGTTGTTAACGGACGACCATCGAAACATGGAGCTGATAGGAGTCCTTGTTTTAGTACTGTGTGTCCTTTCATTGGGCTCGCAGGGAGCTGTCCACGATGAGTTGGGGCAGTGCGGTCTACATGGTGTCTACAGACAGCGACAGAGTCTCGTGGAATCGCCCAATTATCCGGACAACTATCCGGTGAACACCTGCTGGGATTATGTGGTGCGATCACCCTACCGTTGCCCCACAAAGTTTCACATACAATTCCTGGACTTTAAGCTGGAACTCTCGGAGAATTGCAGTCGCGATTATTTGGCCATTGGGCTGAACAATGATGGCGATGATATGGACATTTTGTGCGGCCAAGTGCTGGGCATCAAGAAGTATCACACACCCGATGGAGTCCTGCGTCTCCGCTTCCTCAGCGACGATTCGCCTTGGACAACGAACGGTGGCTTCCGGCTGCTCATCACACGTTTGGCCTGCGAAAGGGAGGATTTGGTAGCCAGGGGTCTGGATGGCGATGGCGATGACGAGGAGGATGTGGATGGGGACACGGTGCAGGTGAACGCCAAGTCACCGCCGAAGAAGCTGCTCACCCAGCACCATCATCACCAGCAACAGCAACATGGACAGCAGGAGCCATTGTTCAACTACACGCAGCCAAATCGAGGAGCTTTCAACTGGGGTCTGCCACCGAATCTCGGTTATCCTGTTGGATTTTATCCTCCGCCAGCTGGCTTGCCTCCTCAGCAATCACCACCTTGTGCACCCCAGCAGCAGCAACAATTTCTGCAACAGCAACAGGAACAACAGCGTTTCCTGCAACAGCAACAGCAGCAATATCTGCAGCAACAACTACAGCAACAGCAATTTCAACTTCCACAGCAGCAACAGCAACTTCAGCAACAGATCCTGCAGCAACAGCAACTTCAACAACAGATCCTGCAGCAGCAGCAGCAACAGCTGCAACACCCACAGCAACAACAGCAATTGCAACAGCCACAGCAACTTCAGCTACCCCAGCAGCAACAGCAGCAAGAATTGCCACTGATTTCCGACCAATATCAGACCACATCCTTTCAACCGCATGCTGTAACCCTCAAGGACTACGATTCCCAGACGTTGCAGCAGTTTGGAGGTCAACTGGATCTCTGCTGTGCCAGCAGCTTTAATCAGAATCACTTTTATCTCTCCAGTCCGGGATTTCCAAGGACTGTTTTGAACTATCTGCTGCCCAGTCAGCAAAGAGATTGTGTCTTCTACATAGAGAAAAGCTCTCCGAATGTCTGCCGCTTGAGGATACAATTCAAATTCTTTGATTTTGGACAGAATTCAGGAGGGCTTGGCGGTGGATTCGGAGGAGGAGGAGTTTCGGGAGGATTGGGAGCCGGATTCAGTGGCGGTTTTGGGGGACAACAAGCCTGCAATGGAGACTTCTTGGAGCTTGATGGTCAGCGATATTGCGGCTGTCGTTCGGGTTATGTCCACAAATCGCATTGGGATCAGGGTCGCAAGGCGCTGCGCATGCGCATCGGGCAGTCGAGCAGTACCACCTCCAATGGCTTCCTGCTGGAGGTGTTCCAGGATCAGGACTCCGATGGTTGTCGGCAGGATTCTGCCCCAGGATTTGGATTGGGCTTGCAGCAGCAGCCACAACAGCAACTACAACCTCAAAGGGGTTTGGGCTTGTGGCCTCAAGTGGGATTGCAACCTCAGTTGGGATTGCAGCCTCAATTGGGTTTGCAGCCTCAATTGGGATTACCCCCACAAACCCCTCAAATATGGCCTATGCAGACTGGATATCCTGGCTATGTCAATGGTTATCCTTTACCCTTCACGGCCACTCCTTACCGATCGGCCAGAAGGATTTCCTATGCCCGTGGCATCGATGCTCAGCAGCCTTCGAGAGTGGTGGAAACAAACTCGACCCGCAAGGAATTTTACTACTTCGATGGCGATGAGGCCTTTGCTCGTTCCGCTTTGGAGGATGAGGACGAGGACAAGGCACACTTGGGGGTCACAACCCAGCCACAGTCTCAGTCAAAAACGCAATCCAAAACCGAATCCCCAGTGGTCACAAAAGCCTTCGAGCAGAGCAGTTGCTCCTTTGACTATATGGAGGTCCTTAAACTTTCGGTGGACACTCTCTGGTTGACCAAGCCCCTGTGCTTTTCGCCTTTAAGAAGTTGGTTTCCCAACATATTTGGCTAACAGAGAAATAAACCCGAATTATTTAATGTAGCCGAAGTATTGTTTTATTAAGTGGATACGCAATAAAAAAAACTAGACAAATTAATATGCATTTTAATTTTTTTCACATACAGTAAATTTTTGAAAATATGCTAGTGATTATTATTTATTTGGCAGTGCGAAAAAAAAGACTAAATACCTTAAAAACGAATAACAAAAACATAAGTACAAACCACTTTGTGCATTTAAGGTATAAATGTTATTATTTTTTTTTTTTAACCATTATCTGTTACATGACTATGATTTCTAAGTCTTCTCTGCTCTAATCTACGATCTTAGCCTCGGCATCTGTATTTTGAAAATTCTGTTGACGTCATAGCAAAAGTATGAAATAAATATAATAAAGAGTGCGTCTTTTTACTCCGCTTAGTCATCGGCGTGAGGCTTACACGCTCGCTGGTCATTACCAGAATGAGGCACGAGTTCCCATTCCCTAACACTCAACTTCACCCACTCCTAGTCGCAATTCCCATACCGTTGTCATCCACAGATACTGATGCTTTCCAAATAGATAGCCACGTCGCCACATTGTTGTCTCAACAAACACTGAGCAATAGTTGAACGAGAATCTCGTATCCATTCAATCTCAATGTCAGGGTGGCGCTTTCGCACTTCCGAAGGTGTTAGCTCGTCGGCTCGCTTACAATCGCAGTACTTATGTGGGATTAACAAAGACTGGGATTTGTAGTGGAAATGGAAAGTCTAGGTATTGGGAATCTGTCTAAGAAATGTTCTAGAAGTTTCCCTTAGCCACTTGTCTGCAATTGTTAATATGATTCTTAGCTAAAAATTGAACAACTAAATTTAAGTTATGTTTGGCTAACTGATAGCTAAAAGAAGTAAAAATGCACATTCGTTTATTTAGAAAAGACCAAAAAAATTTCAAAAACTTTAAGAACTTTTAAGAAACTTTTTACAAATTTAATAGTCCTTCTGTTAAATTAAGTCTACCAACCCCTTACATCAATTGAAAATGCTTTATATCCATTTAATTGCACAATAATAATAGTATTTTATAAGTTTATTCGAAATATATATATTTCTCGACTTTACATTAGTGATTAATGTTTTTAATAAGTAGATAATACATACACATTTATAATAATATTGAATTTCTAAGAATATTAAAATATTCTCGTTTATATACACATTGATATAGCATTAAGTTTTGTGGTTCCACTCATTATTTTATAATACTATGTAGTTTCATGGACCGAGAGACGTTACGAGACTTTTAAGTGATATGGCAACGTTTTGCAATTGTTTGGATTAGCACACGCAACAACCGCAAAAAAATATTAACAAAGTGAGAGCTACTAGAACTTCGTTTACTTAGTTAGTATATACAACACATTGAGAGTTATAAAAGTTTTTTAATTGTCTACAATTAGAATTAGGGTTGGGGCACACGGGTTTACACACGTTTTAATTGCCTTACATCCCTACCAGATAACAAAGTATTTTTAGATTAGTTTTTAGTTTGGTTTAGTTTAGTTTAGTTAGGCTAATTGTTAGTGCTTGTTGTTCTCCAGTTTGGCGCTCGACTTTGTCAGCAATGTACAATTGATGCTTTGGTATACATATGTGTCTGTGTCCTGTGTGTGTGTCCTGTCGATGTGATTAGGGGGTTAAGTGCTCACTGTCTGTCTATATACTCTAAATATATATCCATTGCCTTAACCCAGGAATCGTATGTTGGTGAAGACCGCCTTGGCCGGACGCTTGCGATTGCAGAAATTAACCGTCTTGCTGTGATTGCCCTTGCGATTCTCGTGCAGATTGACCAGCAGCTTAAATATATCCTCCTTACTAGGTGTGCAGGCATATCGCAATTCCGGTTCATAGTTGCTGTTGATAGAATTCATGTAAGAACTGATAATGGTAATGGTTATGTAGTTAGCAAAATCGTTCACGTTTCGGCTATCAATAATCGATCTCTCTGTGGGCGGTTGGTTGGGGATTCTGGGTGTCTGTCTTTCGGGCCTAAAGAGACTCTGATAAATGCATTACAGTAAGTTGTTCAAGTTTTAAAGACTACTAAGGGTTTGGGGCCAGAAGCTCCTCAAATTGCCAGATTTTCCTAGAATATTATTGATTATTTTCTTTTTCATGCTTTGATCTAAGAAAATGTGAAAAAATTGAATTAGGAATTTACATGGATTTTTCTCTTTTCTCTTTGCATAAAAGGGTCTCAAATGCACACTTTAGGGCTGGCCATTCAAATGAAGTAACCAAACACAATTTTAAGTGTTTAAAATATTTAGGCAATTTGAGGACTTCCGATTAAGGATCTTAGATTATGGGACTTAATTCTGCGTAAAGGCTACTAACAACATTTACTAACTACAAATGATAATTGCGGTTGGCTAATTAGCAGTCACTGAAAATCATTACAGTGCTTTGGGGCTTTGGATGCGACTTGTGATGGTGTGGGTGTATATAGATATAAAAAAGCAACCTACCCGCGATTCTTGTTGTGGCGCTTCCACGGATACCTGCGATAATAGCGCGACCGCTTCGGTTTGCTCTGGCCCAAAACCAAATCCTGAACAGCGTTCTGCAAGTCGACGTAGTCATCGGCTCCGGCGGAAGGAATCACCGCCTCCGGCTCTTCCTCCTCAACGTAGACCAGTGGTAATGTTTCCAGCGAGGGATCCTGAATGAAACAAATGCACACCGAGAAATAACATGCGATTCAAATTAAAACTTTTAATACATCGCTTTTCAACACAGAATAATAATGCAAGACTAACAAAGTTTTTTTTATGACAATTTGGGGAAATGTAAGTAATTTCCTATTAACATATTCATACTTTTCAATATGGTCTACAATAGTCAATATTATGATACAAAGATCATATAGCGCCCTGGAAACATTCGGAAAATAAATAAACTAAAACAATAACTTAGCTATTTTTTCAGTTTATACTAGTTTTCAGTTTATCTTATAGATTAAGATTAAGTATTATTTAAAAATGGGCCAATTATATATAAACAATCGTAAAATGCATTGCAAATTCCATAAAGTTTCATTGCTTTTATATAGTATATTTTTTTTGATTTCAAATATAAAAAAAATAAGTTTTACTTTATTGCAGCTTTATTGTTTTTAGTGTAGCTTGCGGTATTTGCCCTAAAATTCCGCTGGAATTGTCTCTTGACTTACCTCTAGCATTTTCATGAGTAAAGCGGATTTGTCCACCAGTTCCTGCTCGGCCCGCAAATCCTCCTCCATTTTCTTGAGCACCTCGAACTTGCTGGCCAGCTCGAGTTCATTGTACACGGCATCGGCGTAGTCCGGATTCGGGGGAACCACAGCCAATCCGAGCTCCTGGCCGCGTAGTAATTCTGCCGTGAAATGAGCAAACCAAAGACCTTATTTTGCGATTTGAATGTTTATTCAAGCTGCCGCTAATCCGACCACAGCCATGTCCATTCCCATTCTCATTCCCATTGAAATCCCCATCCCTAGCTTCCGGTGCTTGATATTTGAAAGTTTGAATAGTTTGTTTTTCCGTTTGTCTGTCGGCTGGTTAGGAAAACATGCCTCATGCCATGTTTTCCCCCAAGCTCTGATGTCGTTTCAATGAACTGGCGGAAATTGACTGGCGGCAATGAGTTTATGGCCACAGAATTTTCCTCAGCCCCCACCCCTTAGCGTTTTGCGCCCTTTGTAAGCCTCCTGCCTTTTCGACCATGCCCGTCAGTCAAATCAACAGTGACTGCAACTCCTTGACTGCCTTTTGTCGCTTTTGGCATCCAGTCTGCCCATCACTGTCCACTTGGTGCCTTTTCACAGATTCGCAGACAGACTGCTATGAACCCACGCACATAAATACCTAAAGCAGCCACAGTATTAAACGAGTATTTTTTATCTAAGTAAAACGATCAAATATAAACTAATCTCCATAATATGTCCTGTTTTCTGTGACCAAAAAGTATATAAAAATGAAGAATTAAGTCTCATAAAAGGTTTCAATTAATATTTATTTCAAAACTCATTTTCCCTTAACTAAAATATATGTACCTTTTAATATGTGAAAGCCAAAATTTTACAAACCTCATAAATCGATTTTCGTTAAATTTCCAGTTGATTTACTCATGTATCAAATCACTTGGAAAACAAGTTCATTTATTGAAAATCCGATATGACATTTCATTGTGGGCTAGGTTAGGTAGGTTCGTTGGGCAAAACGCAAACGTCGAATCAAATTCGTCAACAAATTTGAAAACCTATCCCCTCGATTCGGTGGGCGTGTTAAGTGCTCGGCACAAACACATATTCTATATTTTGCAAGGACAACAATTTGAGTCACTTGAAAAATTGTGCACTGACCGAAAATGTTCAGCGACCGTTCACCATAACTCTAATGGATGGTGGATGGCGGTTACGACTAAGTGCATGCCATGTGTCACCCCAACTCTTGGTCCACCCCTTTTTTTTAGGGCTGCCGCCTAAAAGCCGACAACGCCAAATTTTGGTAGCAAACGAGATAACTACTGCTCAAAGAATGGCTGTATGCCTACCTTTTGTGCATTTAATCTTTAATTTTTCTACTCAAAACATTGTAGCCATTTAAAATTAATGTATAAATAATGAATATGTATTCTATATATGTTTAATTTGCCTATTAAATACTTTTTCACGATTTCTCCTTAAATCTCAATAAAACACCATACACCAATTTAATTTAAACAGTCTTAGATGCAGTTGTTATCTTTTTAATTCGAACGGGGATTAGCTGATGCTTTGGAAGTCTACTCAAGGCGAAGACCACGCAAGAAATGCGGTAATAGGAATGTTTATGACTCACCATCGCCGGGATCGTAAACAGCTCGCTCCTGTGCCTCCTGGACATCCGACGAAGGGGGTCCTTGGCGCACGGTTCCGCCCCCGAAGATGGGCAGATGCAGTCGCTGTGGACCGGATGCCACGCCCTGCTGGTCACCCATTTTAGCTGCTCCTCCGTTTGCGGTGGTCTGGGATGTCAGGAAGCCGGCGACGTGACGAGTACCACTGCCCAGGATCGTGGTTGCCAGGATGCAGAGTGCCAGAATATCGGGCTTCATGGTGGTGTTTCTGTTGACAGAGCCTCTCCGGATGTATTCGGGATTAATGCGCGGGTCGTTGTCGATGTCGTAGATGTCCCTGCAAGGCGAAAAAAAAAAGTGAAGACGTATGTACACGAGGGTAATTACCATCACTACCACCTGCTAGGCATCCCTACCTCCACCAGCCCACTTATCTCCTGCACCACCCACCCCATCCAACCCAACTGCGTGTGGGCGGCCCTTTGTGTTTAAGCAAACAATGCGCATATAAGCACGCAAACAACCGAGGAACCCCAACAAAAATTAAGACCGCAAAGGAAACGAGGACAAACGGTTGGTGGGTGTTAAGCGGCAAAAGGCGTCTCTTAGATAACTTGGCGGCTGATTCTTGGGCTTTTGTTTTGCGATGCTGCTTAATCTTTCTTTTCGCGCAGAACTGTGGGTCTATAGGTCATAAGATGTTAATTTTTAATTCTAGATGGTATAGTAAATTTAAAAATATATATTTGGTGATGTATATAACACATATTTACTTTGTAAAAATAAAATAAAAGAAACAAAGCTTTCAATAAATCATATTGCCATCCATGCAAGCAAGCATTTAAGTCATTGTCAAGGCATATTGCATATTTAAGCATCACTAAGCCTTCACTTCCAATTTTTATATTGCTCAATACATATTGGCTCTTGCTATTTTTAGTACAACATTTCACCACTGTCTTCTAGGTGTTCTTGTTTTCATAATATTATTTTTTATCAGGTACTGCAGTGGGGTTTCGTTGTAGGGAGGCTCTTGTACTCTTTGTCGTTTCATTTAATTAAGTATGGACGTCGCTGACGTGGGCGAGTGGATTTAACTCTTTTACAGCGTATTTTCAGCCCATTAGCCAAAGCCTATGGCTGGATATCCGAACAAGTACCCATCCTGGCGAAAAGCCCGCCTCCTTTATTGTATTTTTTACGATTAAAAACATCAGCTTGACGGGGAATATAAATGAGTTGCTTGGAATTTTTGGCACTTGCGGTCTGTACGGTTGAGATGTCTAGGATCAGCTTCATTTGTTAACCAAAGTAGCCATAATTTTTGCTTGAAAAAATTTAGACAAAAAAGTGTGAAGATTTTGAAGAAATCGGTAATTTATTATTCTAAATTCAAGGCTAAGTCTATGCCTTAAATCCTTTTGTTTTGTGTAAAACGGTAGGGGAAGGTGGTGAAAGGAACGTTAAAAAAGTTTGGATGGATATAGCAACCATAATTTTCATGGTACCCTCAAAGATATGGTGTCATTAAAATCCATATATTTAGCTACAACTTTCCCAAGTACAACTTTGCTGTAGATTGCAATGCCCTCCGGAAATTTGCAAAACAGATAAAAAACTTATGTTTTGTATGTTTTGTATTTAAAAAGCAAGGTAAGGATAATTCAAAAATGCACTTTTTTTGTAAATTATGATAAAACTCTTCTCAATTTGGTTGGGTTTGCTGAATACCGTGTTTTTTATTAACACACCTGAACTTTTAACTTGTTTAACTGTTTCGCATTTTTACTGACGCTTTCTTTCGTTAAATATAAAAGAATTTCGCAACAAAAACGTCTTCAACATAATGTTTGTTATCAAAAATGTAAATAAATTTAAATTGCCCAAATTTTTGCGGTTAATTAACCTGACAAAATAAATCAACTCTGTCACGCCCAATCGAAACACAAAAAAATGTTCAGCATTTGTTTCACACAGTTCATTAAAATTGATTGGAGGAAGAGAACTTTTCCGTGGACAATTTCCTTACAATTTTTCGGCACGTTTCGATTGAGTTTGATTGAAAATTTGCAACTCAACAAAGAGGCATATAATTTAGTCTAAATATTTGCGGATAATTTCCATAATTTGGCGACTTTGAAGATATTTTTATATAACAAATCTTTAAGTGCAGTGAGATTTTTTGTTTTCGGTTAATTCGCGAGATAATTTGCAATGTGCTCCAGGCATTTCCTGCAGAAAACTTTTTCAATTACTTCGCTTTTATTGGCACTCGAAAAGTGGGCAACACTTTTGGCATTCTTTTTGGGGAAGCAAAACTTATATGAAATTGTTAAGGAGGGAGCGAATTAGAAGTAAACAAAGCAAACACGAATCGTTGTCAAAATGCTTTAATTAACTTGTTGACACTGTGTCAAAAAGTGGACCCAACCAAAAAAAAAAGTTTCACCCTGGAAAGCGATGTCCCCAAGGTAAAATGAAATTAACTTAGCGGTAAGGGGTGAGTTTCAGTGCTCTTTATGTATGTGAGTCCATTTTTACCTGTCGCCTGTTTTCTTTTTTGTATACGTTTTGTTTTCGCAATAACCGCACGGCTAATTGCTAAATTGAGTTGAAGTGTAACTGAAATAGGTCCGAACCCAATGGAATATAGGCCTTGTCTCTTACTTTATCCACCTACATACCACATTTCAGGTGTAGTGCAAAAACGGCTTAATTAATGCTAAAGATAAGGAATATACAGCTGGGAAAATGGAGTTAAGCAAGTGCAACCGACATTTGTCCCAGGATCCCTGCCAGTTAGACACACTCTACTTGTGTAATAATTTTGGTGAACACATTACATGACTTTCTTACATATTAAATTGGGCAGCTGGGGCACTTGTCGAAATTTACACACAAAAGAACCAAAATCTACACTTTATTTTTTAAGGCTTCAACAAACCAGATGTCCAGACGCCAATGATGGGGAAATGAAAAAAAAAACGGGAAAGGGGAAGTTTCAATTGAGTGTTCAAAAATGTATAAGAATTTATGGCAATTTATGACGTCAAATAAATAAATTATAGGACTTTATTAATCGCCAAATAAAGTTGTTAAAATAGAAAGCCTATTTTATTTTATTTTGTTTATTTGTCTTGTCTTTTTGTAAATTAATCTTCAATATTTCTCAAATTTAAATTTAATATCTAATTTCACTAGTTTTCGGAGCAAATCTATTTAATATTTTCACAAACAACAAGTCGTTCGACCCAGTTTTAACAATAGCTTTCTCTAACTCTAATTAATCCATCGATTTTAAAGACTCGATTTCGACTTCATCTTTAATTCGTACGTTTTACATGTTTTGTCTATGGCAACAAATTCGAGAAACTTTTTAGTTGCTAGGTCTAGGAAAAATCATAAATTCACATCTGTAAATAAGAGGAATTGCTCAGGATTAAATCCAGTGGGATGCTGAATTGTCCTAAAACGAAAACGGCTTTGGAACGCATTGAATTCTCATTGCAGTAGATTTATTTATTTCCAGGAATTTTAGCACGTAGAATTCAAGGGCTTGAGACAGTGAAAGGGGTCAGGGAACAACAATTGCTTGACAACATTTTCCGCAAATATTGATGCATTTTTTCTGTTTGTTTTCCAAAGACTTTCGATGGTTTATTTACGTTTGACATTTATGTTTTCCTTGGGAATTCCTTCAAGCAATCGACATTGATAAATTATTAATGGAATGAGTAGAAAAAAATGTCATTTTTAGCTCAACAATTACAAAGCAGCGGCGTGAAATACATACTTTTTTTTCTAAAGCGTTCGTTACTTTTAAAGTGTTTATTTTTGTTAAATGACATAGGATTTTGGTTTTAGAGAAAATGGAAATATATTTACAGTTATCAGGGTAGTGCTTATCTGAAAGAATCCTTGTAAAAAGTTGGTTTTTATGTTGTTATTAATTTATTATTCGGTTTTATTAATTTTTTTCGGTTTTGACTTTTCATAAATTTTTTTTTTCGAAAAGTGAAGTGAATGAATCTAAAATGGTTAGCAGCAAGCTTCGTGTTAAGATTAAAAAAAATTTCCAAAAGTATCAATTTACAACCTTCGTTTAGAGAACGTTTAAGCCGTTTTTACTTTGTTGTAAAAGCTGAACCTTAGCCTGATTTATAAAAGTTTTAATGCCGGGCAGGGCAAAATAATATACAAATATTTTTAAATCACTCAGTCTATTATATTTTTCTAAAACATATTCTTTGCGAACTCAATAAAACACTGTGAAATTACCCACTAACTGTTCAATATTATTTAGGTACATATTTTATTCTACCATTGACGACACTGTAATTGATGACGAAAGCGACGGCATTTGTAAGATTTCGCGCAACGTTTTTATATCCTTATTTATGAGTTCACTCAAGCCTCAAATTCAACATAAACCGCAAAATTTTTTCAGCGGACTTTGAATGGTTATAATGGTTTTGAATTTCGAAACACACCGTTCACACTCACTTTAAAATATGTCTGGAAACCGTTCGAATTACTGAACCAGAATCGGGGAACTGTCAACTGTTGCTCCTGCTACTTGTTGAACACTGCGTGGTCGACTCGCTTAGCCGCCTCCTTTTATAAGGCCGGAACCGAAGTTAATGCCGATTCGTCATCGTCGACCGATGACGAGGCCGCCGATTTCAAAGAGCCGATGTCGAGGCGCCAAAAAAATTGCGTAAAAGCTTGCGCCAAGCTTTCACTGGCCACTCCTCCTTTCAAATTGAAGACATCCTGGGTTTTTATCAATGAAATATTTTCGGCAAATTTAAAAAGTTTAGCGCCTGCCCGCTCGGCGATATTGGCGAATGAAAAATGTCATTGGCAATTATTTAGCTGGCGAAAGATATGCGCCGCTAAGTAGGCAACAAGTCGCGAAATGGCGTCACCAAAAGTCAAAGCAAGGTGATAAATAATCCGCTAAGGGAGTCTTTGTTGACGGTGCACAGTTTACGGAATAATATGCCAACCGGACGCGTCATTTGATTCTTGGAATCTCGTCATGCCGTGGGTGTTTTCCGCCACAGAAAGTTCTCGCCGCGGGAATCCTTGCAGTGTAAATCCCTCCATGGATTTTGAATGAAGTTTGGCGGGCTTTGTTTTTTGGCCATGTCATACTTTCGTGTGAATTTGGATTGTCATATCAATGGAATTCGGAATTAGGAAATAATGCTATTTATAGATTGGTGATGGTGGTTTTGATATGTAAGCTAAGCTTTATCATTAGTCTCAGTTAGGCATGTCTATTTAAATCAATTAAAAATTAAAAGCTCCAAGTAAACTCAAATTTTTTTTTAACTAGTTATAAATAATTGACGCATTAGCAAAGTCATAAATTAAATTTAGTTTATTTTAACGTTTTTTAATTTCAATTTGATATAAAACAACATTTCTTATCTTGCAACTCCTTAATTAAACAGTAATTCTACAAATGGCGTTTATGTCTATCATTTTTTAATCAAACATTTTTCACCTACTTCAATCTGAAATGCAACATCATTCCTTAACTTCGCACTCAACCATAAATCTATCGCAGTCGTGCAATCGGAGAACAAGAATCGAGGGGTCAGGTCAGACAGCCAGATGTCAATAACCGTCGAAGCCCCCAGGCCTTGAAAAAGATGGCACTTTTGAGTGAAATTGCTGTGAGTAATGGAGCACAATCCAATCCTCAATGTTTTCGTTATTGTTTCGAATGTGTGTTTGTTGTTTTGGCCTAAAAGGCGGCCCACGAAAATAAGCATATATAGGGTTTTGCTCACCAATCGCTTGGGGCAACCGAGGATGACACTTACCCCAAGAAAACCAATAATAACCTGCTGAAAAGTTTAAGTGCTCAAAAGTAGGCGGGGCAGATGGAACAGGAAGCCCACACTGATACACAGTGAAAGTCATATTTTTGGCCACGGCTATTTTTATCTGCCTCTGGATCATTTCTTTCTTCCTTTTCCCTTCTTCGTAAGCGGTTTGTGCGACTTAAGTTGCATCAGACTCACATGAACCCACCCACCCAATGGACTTTGATTTATCCAAGTGCGTCACGCCCTTCTGGTTTGGCATTTGCAATCTCGTCCCTCGAAGCTGCCGACGTGCCAAACAAATTGATAAACAAATTAGCGCAGCTAATTACGTTGAGATTTTTGGGTTGTGTTCTGGATAAATATATCGCTAAAAGACATATTGTATAGGTTTTGCTTAAGAAATACAGGTAAGCAGAACTTACTGAAACCATAATCACATTAAATTAAAATCATTATTTTCAAGTATTTTAGATTAAAAGCAAAACCGAGATTTGTGGTTTGTGTTCTCCAAACTTACATATATCTTTGAAAATCAATTATTTTTAGTTATGCCTAAAACCAAATCTCTCTTTACTAATATTAGATTAAATGAAACATTCTATAAGAAGTATTATAGTTTTAATATTTTTGCACTTTTAAATACAACAAATTCTGAAAATTGAATTTTCTTTTAAATACATTTAAAGTAAAACCCGATTTTTCTTTCCGAAATCGATTTCCAGAACGTAATTACACCCGCATATCTTTCCGGTATGCCCATCCGTATCAGTAAGCAAATATTTGTAGCATACTTGTCGGTTGGCCAGTGAAATGTGCAATTGACTCATGCGATTGTTTTTGGATTTTTCGGTCGCTTTATTATTATTGCCATGCGGGCACTATCACCTCGTTACAGCTCTAATTAAACCCCATTGACAGTTATCAACCTAAGCGCTGAGATTGAGTGACAGTAGCGCTGACGTTCCCTTTCGGTGATTAACAACTGCGTCGGCAATAAACTGTGGTCCCCCATATCCAGACTGATTTTTGCACAATTTGGTGAAATATTTTGATTTCCAGCCAGGGAAACGAAATATTTGGCCAAACTTTGTAAAACTCGCGAAAAAAGCAGTAGCAGCAGGAAAAACGGCATCCCTTTGCCCTTCGAACATTGGAAATGCTTCAACCTTTGACTTTTAAGCTTTGGCTGCATCCGGGTCCTCGTGAATGGAGGTGACTTCGAGCTCCTGCTCTTCGGCTAAGGCTTCCTCTTCGGCCTCCTCTGGCGCCTCCTCGAACTTCTCGCCATTGATGATCTCCTCAGCCAGCTCATACAGCTCTCGAATGTTCTAGATGAGTGTATAAATAATTCACAGATATTAATGCACTATTAAAAAACTTACTTAAATTTACATTCCCTAAAGTCCTTAAACAGAAAAAAATGGGAACAATAAGTTGATTTTTATTATTTGTTTTACTATTTTTTTATTTTATTTATAGACCCTCTGTTTTAAAAACATGGTTGGTTGTTTAACTTTAACGTTTTAATCAATTGTTTATCAAACTATTTCTTGCAGATGCTGTTTTGCCAACATTTTTTGTTAAAAGATGTTCTTGCAAAGAATTAATGAATATTGTACTTTAAAAAACAAAATTTTAAGTTTATAATATAAACAATTTAGCTAGATGCCTGTAGTAAACTCTTTTTGGTTAAGAAAGTGACTAGTTTTATATTACTGAATACTGCCAAAAATAATAAATTGATTTTTAAAGCTCACCTTGGCATTCCTGAGCGCCACGATCTTCTCGTCCTCGAAGCGCAGCTGATCGTACTGCTGCTTGGAGATGAGTAGTCCCCGATTGAACTCGTCCTCCATTTCGGCCTCCAGTTCCTCGGCATATTGCTGCTTGGCCAGGGTCAGGCTGATGGCATCCTCGCTGATCACCGTCTCCTCTGAGACATCGGTCACATCGTCCAGATACCTGGACTGTGCCTCGCCCTGGAGCTCGTCGTCCTCCAGCGAAGCCTCTGGCACTAGTTCCACGCTAGATCGATGGGCATCCTCGATGAGTTCGGTCAGCTGTTGAGTGGTGACCGCCAATTTCACATCCTTTAGCTTGTCCTCCAGTTGGTTGCGAATACGCAACTCTGTTTCGCGGAACTTTTGTCTAATTAGGCAGAGAATATTTAATAGCTTTTGGCATTAAGGAGTAACTAGAGAATCCCAACCTGGCTCTCACTATGTTCTGTATGTCCTGCGGATCCGATGAGTAGGGATGTGAGATGCGCAGCGAACGCTCCTTCATTTTGGCACGCTCCTCTTCGAGGAACTCCTTCAGGCTCTTTTCGCACTCCCGCCAGTCTTCGTTTTCGATGCTGCAAAAGTGGGGGAGTTTTCCTTTCATTAGCCACCGTTCTGAAGCGAACTCGCTGAACATTCAACTCATGCATATTAATGGGGAAAAAAGGAACACCGTTTAATAACACGCCCTGGGAACACAACCATTCTATCATCATTTTGCGATACTCTTTCTTGGAAGGGGATTGGTAATGAGAAAGTTTAAAGATCTCACCAGTAAAACTAAAAATAAATGTTGCTTGCTAGACTGCTTTGTCATAGAGGTATCAAAATAAATCTAACTATTTGTCATATATCAGTTGCAATAAGAGCTACATTGATTGCCACAATATTCATTACGATATTTATTAAACTTTATGGTAAATAATATAGTTATAAGCCAGACAATATTTATTATTATTATCAAGCAAATGTATAATGATTTTTGTTAGTTAAAAATTTGGTTTATCTTAATGGGTTATATGCCATGTACCAATACAAAATTTGTAGTTAATAAGTTCTTTCGAAACTGATATTAAAAAATTAAGTTAAGCAATTAAAAATCCGCGGACTGTGAATTGTGAATTACTATACAATACACAATAAAAAACCATGTTAACAAACAAGATAACCTGTTTGTAGGATTTTGAATGGAACCGTATGTTGGCTTCATTGAAGGCCTCCCTGCATTTTGTAAACTAATATTTTTGTCTGAAATCAAGAGCATTCAGACTTGGCCTACGGTTTGCTGAAATTTCTCTGTCAGTACCCCCATTTTTCCACCCCCACCGATGGCCGTTTAAGCCAGTGGGTTCATCTTTTTACAATACATGCATCTTAGCCTGCTTTTTTTCACAACTCGTTGGGGATAAAGAGCTTCCCAGAAGGCGGCAAGCGTCAACGTGGAATAATGTATTGTTATTGTTGCCGATGTTGTTGTTGCTGTTCCTGCTTCTGTTCATTTTTAATTTTGCCGACATTAAATGGCGGCCGACTTTAAGTGACTTACCGCAGCAGGTCCATGCCCCTTTCGGCGTCCTCTGTCCTGTACTGTTCCACCAACAACTTCTGCTGGCGGTGCCGCTCGCGTTTCTTGGCCAGCAGTTCGGCTTCTTTGGCGGCATGTTGGAGTCGTTCCCGTTCCCATTTCACTCCCTGCAGCTTCAAACGCTCCGCATTCTTCTCCCGAGCTGTCTTTAACTATCGAAGGGAAAAGAAAACAAAGGAAAAAGGGTAAGAGTTTTAATAGTGTTTGTTTTTACAAACTTTACTCACTTTGGAGCGCTCTTTCTGGATCTCCATATTGGCATCTTTGTTGACCATAAATATGGGATCGTCAGCCAGTTCGTCTGGTATCACATCCGATTTGCCTTCTATAATTAGCATTCGCTCGCGCTCCACTTCCTTTAACTGCAAAAAAAGGTAAATTTATTAAATAAATTTATTATAAACTTTTAAATAACTACAATTTATAAATTTCAAAAGATTTTAATTATTGTAAGACAATACAAATAGTTTTACAAGTTCCGAGTGTTTAGTCGTTTTATACTTTTTCCAATAACATTAAAAGAACATTATTAAAGAACATTAAATTAATTAGTTAGTTTTATGATTCAATAATATCGTTTGATGACAGAAATAGCCGATGCCTAAGAAAATGTTTGAACTTTATTAGCGGCCGTTCTGCGGTTAATATAGTATACTATAAAAGTTAAATCTGGCGAAATGTGGGTGGCGCAAAGCCTCTTTGTGGCTTATAGAATTTTTTGGTGCTCAGTCAAAGTTTTTGCTACATGGCTACATCAGTTTCCCAACCCAAATAACACTTCTTAACACCTTTCACCTGCTTGTTTTTTTTCCGCATTGCGCAGCACTTGATGGAAATGCAATCGGAAGCGTCAAGATATTTTAGTCCCTTGTTTCATTTCAAACTTCAGTCAACTGCAATTGCATTTAAGGACATGTCGGACAGACAGATCTCTAAGTATCCGTATCCGCAGTGAAGCACTTTGTACTTCATAGTTTTGGCCCCTCGCATGTCTCACAGACATAAAAGGCAACTTTTGCTATCTCTCGCCCCGAACATCCCTCTGTTTCTGGTCTAATTTTTATTACTTTGACGGCTTGGATTTGCCATTTTCATGTCGGAGGCTCATTGGATTCAATTGTTTGTGCTTTGGCTTGGCCCCCGTCGAAAACAGAAAATAAGTAGGCGGTGTCGGCGTCATTGAAAAACTTTGGGACACTTTCGCTGCGCTCCCGTGAAAAGGGAAACTTGAAAAGGGTAAGCATGAAAACAAAATCGCAGCCAATAAACAAGTGAAGGGCTAAAAGAAACAGTATTAAGACTAAAAGATACCAAACACGAATGATTTTAGCGTCTACTAGAAAATAATTGGAGATGTACATTTAAAAATTTACAAAAAGCAAAGAATAGTTGTATGTGTTTTAAAAACGTGTTTTAAAAAGTGTTTTATTTAATTTTGTTTTTTTTTTTTGTTTTAAATTAGTTTACGTTATATTTTGGTTCTTTTTAATTTGAATAAAAGTGTATGATACACACTTCTTCAAGACTTAACTCAGGCTTAAAGGCACTCGTATATTTTAAACGTTTCCTTAAGAAAACCAATACAACCCGTTCTCACCCTCAGTAATCTCTGTTCTACGTGACTCTCCCTGGCGACAAATTTGTTTAGGACTCTCGTCTCATATTTTCTCCTCTCTAAACTTTATGAAAATTGAATTGCCAGCCAAACAAATTGGTCACATTTGTGTCTGGTTTTTTGGGGGCTAATTGAGGTGCTCGGATTTGGGACAGCCGAAAAAAAATGGACGACTTACCTCTCGGGCGCGGATGCGGGACAGCAGCTGTTTGCGGTAATCCTCGTCGATCCTTTCGCGCAGCTCCTTCATGTAGGCGCGGTCCGTCAGCTTGACCACATTGGTGCCCATCAGACGCTCCAGGCGGGCGCTAATGCGCGGCAAATTGAAACTGGAAATGAAAAGTGAGCGGAAAATGCCAAGAAGATTTTTGAATAAAAATGTGTACTTAAATAATGAAAGGTACAAATGGGAGTCAAGTCAATGTTAATGACCTTTCCAAATGTAAGTCAATAAATTGTACGCTTAATTACGGGCTCAACCTTCGCCCCCCTTCCCCTCCACCACCAACTCACCCCACACCTGGGTGGGAAAATCCCACATGGGTCGTCCCGTCCGCTGAAGGCGTTTTAGCGCTTGTAACTGTTGGTAACGAATGAGGTCGGGCCGCATTCTCGGCCTGTTACTATAGCGCTTTTCACTCGCTGCGTTTGCCAACTGCCGCCAGTATTTTATTTTGGTTGCCAAACACCCGAAACCGACAACACAAGGACAAGGAGTCCGCACTCCGACTTCTTCAGGTTCCACACACCACCACCTCGATTACAATGGGCCAGAACAACACTTCATAATTTTTTCATATTTAAGAGGTTTAAGACCTAATCTTGTACGTTTTATATCGGTACAAAAATAAAGGCAATATATATAATACAAAACTAATTGAAGTAGCCTTTCTTAACTTTAGCTTTTCCAAAATTAGAGAATGCAAAAAACCAAAAGTAAAGTTTCAATAAGTGTGACTTGAAAATAAACTACCGACAGTACAAGTACAGAAAGTACAAGTAATAATTCAATAACAAATAATATACCCCTTTACTTTTTAGTTTAATTTATATGCCGAAAAGTCTAAGACTGTAGACGAAGAATCTAAGAATGTAGCCGAAAGCCTTATTTTAAAAGTTTTATTTTGATAATTTCGTGGTAATATAATGTTAAATGCATCTTAATTAAAAATTGTTTCTAGCCGAAAGTTTAAAATTCATGTAACAATAGCTTAGTTGTGAAAAACAATTTTTTTGGTGCTTAAAAATTAATTATGTTAAGATTTGTTTGTTAAAAAAAACTACCTTAATCTAATCCATCATTGATTTTTGCAAGATTATTTGAAATTTGGCAACTAATCCACTGTTCTCCCAACTTTGCCTCAAAGTGTGATATGCACACCAGCCAACTAGACTAGCAACAACCATATAAACCTCACCTTCCAGCACCCCCAAACATGTAGCGTAATTTTAGACATGCAGGGCAGAGTGGGGTCCGTATTGAAGAGAACTGATGGCGAGGGGAGCTGAGCTGCCCGGAGGTATGGATAGCGAGGGAAGACTGTCTCGGCTCGCCAGACTTTCAGAATTTCGCTAGGCTTTTTAGCAATGGCTCACATGGTCTTTCTGCCATTCTGCTTTCTTCTTTTTTGCGGTTCTATATGGTAAATAGGTATTTTATTTCTACATGCCATAAAGCAACTTAATGCAGGCAGGTCATGAGACTTGTGTACTCATCTAACAAACATAAACCCGTACTCGTGCCGAGTGTATTCGGAATGCCATGGGGGGGATTAGTCAGCTCTAGTTAATGCTTGTCGTTTAGTTGACAATTAGATGGGCTAGTTTATAGGGATTGCCTGACTGTGGATTTTCCTTGGGCTTTTGGATCAGAGCCAAGAATGCTATGTCTCGTCAAGCACTCATTCAAAAATCGCTCAATCCATCGCACGTAGCACATTTTTAACAGATAATACAATGTTGTCTTTGATGTCTCCACCAAAAATCGTAACTCGCAATAGTTCAAAGTCGTCAAAGCTCAATTCAATCAATTTCCAATCGGAAGGAAAGGTGAAGAAAGTATGATTCCCCCCTGTTGGCATTGACATTGATAATGAAATTTCAGGACATGAATGGGTGTTTTCGTCGTATCAATAACCCGGGCTCATGTCACATGCCACATGCATAAATTACGTATACGCTCTGGTGGCCAAGGGGTTGTGGTAAGAAAGCAATCTGTCATGTCTGTGCCGTAGAAAACCCCCATTTGCTTGTCCCGATTTATGACCTGCTCGCCGCCATAAACAAGCAAACCCTTTCGTTCGTGATAGTTCCTGTGATAGTTCACATCTTTTTATTGCAACTTCCGCGTAACTTTCCGAGTGCAACTCCGGTGACATTTGCAACGGTCGTATCCGCCACTGTCACTGGGTGTTCAGGTGGGTCATGATTTACGTCCCCACCCACCTGGTGAATCCCGCTGGCATTAACCCATTTTGCAGGAGAGTGCGTGGGCTCAGAGTGGGTTAACGCATATCCGATTGCCGTTAGCCATTTGTGGCACTATTCAGCTCAATAACGCATTAAAAGAGGGGTTATTTATTTATTTTTTTGTGGGAGTAAGTGCTGGTATTGGAAAGCAGTTTCTGGGTATTACAAAAACCTATAAATAATAATAAATGAAATCAAAAAACAAATATTTGTGGATAACGTTAAGCTTACAAATAAGTGATTAAAGCAAGAAGCATGTTTATTTATATTTTAAAAAAATTATAAATATTTTTTATTGAAATAAATGCTTGTTGATATATAATTTAAAGATAACTAATTTCATTGAATCATTTAATATTGTTTGAGACAATTCAAAACAGCCTAAGATATAAGCCTAGAAACATAGAGCTGGCTTTTTCGTGCATTTTTCCTTTCCCCATTTTCCGCTAATGGTACGAATAATGTGTCAGTAAGGAAAAGTCCCATTGATTACATTTATGACTTAATTAGCGGCATTTCGCAGGGAAACAAGGAACCATATTAGTTTACATCCCCGGCGTTCTCTGACATCGGCCTTTGCAGACGAACTATAAGGCCCGAACGAAGGACATGGGGCTAGCAGAGCAAGGGGCAGGACTATATGCTCCTGCAAGTATGCAACGCTAATTAATGCCAGGGACGTGCATAAATTTGCCGAAGAGTTGACATTTATGACCTTTGCCATTTTAATTGATAGTTGAAACACGTAGCAGGGGAAATAAATATTGCCGATGTGCGAGCGCTGCAGCGGAATATTGAAATGTAATTCAAAGTTCATCAATTAATATATAAGAAAAACTAAGTGTGTACGATCGATGCCGAATATAATGCTTTGAATATTAAAAAAAAATCATCTTTTGATCTTAAGTTTTCTTATAAGAAAAAACAGTACAAAATATTGTTGTAAATCAACGCATAGAAAAAACAGTTTTTAAATTTCATAATTTTTTGAGACAGAAAATTCAAATCAGTTAATTAAACAAGCTTTTTTTAATCCTGTTTCACTGTTTTTATTTACTAGTGATACAAATTTCTTCTTAATAGAGATAAATTGAAGAGTTTATTTATTTTAAAAAATAATTAAATTCCCAATTCAAAGCTTGCTTTCTTGATTTTGTTTGCCGTTTGTTACCTCTCCTCAGGCTCCAGAGTGCACTGCACAAAATCGATGAGGAAGTCCTCCTCGATGCTGATCTTCATCATGGGTGCTGACTTCTTTGCTTTCCTTCCTTTTGAAGATTTTCCAGCCATGGCAGGTGTGTGACCCAGAAGGTGTTTACTTTAATCCCTCATTTTCGCACCGATTCGAACGGGAACACAACCTGCGAAACTTTCACCCGAACTCGACAAAGGCGACCGGCGAATGTGGCGCCCTTTTCACAGGACTCGATGCCTTGAGCTGCCGCTCCTCGTGTTTTGTTGTTGACACACACGTGTGTGTGGCGTCGAGTGGCACGTGGGAGAAAATAAACCAACCCACTTTCACTTTTGCTCCCAAACGTCTCACGATATCGCGAATCCGAATCGGTTTTCGAGTCCGATTCCTGTTTCAGTTCCCCATCGCATGTTAAAGCTTTTAATGTTAGGCGTAATGACATGACACCAATGTCAATATTTTGACAAAGTGTACGGCGTAGTGTGTGTCAACAAGTTTCAAACGCGCAGTTTTACAAGATTTTTAAGGGGCTTATAGAAGTCTTTTGGGACTTAAATAGTAATAACAAATAAATGATAATTAATGACTTAAAAGGATAATTATAAATACCACACATTGTAACTATAATTTTTGTATGGTACTAGCTTGAAAGCATAGTTCTCGGCATGCAAATCTAAATTTTTAGTCGAAAAGCTTATTTTATTGCAGCAAAATAAAGCTTTTTCATCTCATCAACAGTCACCGGTGAAGTGATAAGGCTGTTGTTGATTAAGTACTTGATTAAGAGACTTTAAATGATTAGTGACTTAACGGAATGCTGATGGAGAAGATCTTCTCATTTGCAGTCGCGGCTCTAACCGGTAAGCATAAATGGGAAAAACCATATATTTTAAACGAGTTGTATATTTTTTCCATAGTGTGTCAAGTGCAAGGACAGTGTCGATTTAACTTTAACAATGTTCGCTCTTCCAATGGGGTCTTTACGTATCTGGATCACGGTGCACTTTATCCGCAAATTTCTTCTGTTGTGGCCAGAGGCGTTGCTTTAACCATGCACTGTGGAGGCGGAGAAAGCCATAGAACACTTTGCACAAGGAACGACAGATTCCATCCAGCACTGCCCTTCCGCTGCACTGCTCAAGCTCCGGAAAGCGAGGTTAGATTGTACGAGGGCGATAGGTCGCTTTATAGCGATTGTCCGGCCACAACTCTATAGGCCATACGATCAACAGGCAATTTGTAAAGTTGTACGACGCTTGTTACGATACGAAGAGTTTAAGGGCTCACTTCACTCAGGCCACTATCTATCCCAAGACAATTTGTGAGTACCCAAATATGTAAGCAAATTAAAAAACTAAATAAAATCGTTTGTAATTTACAGTTATACCACGCCCGGCAGACATACAATTCGCTCCATATCCGGTTATGTCGCCCGGATCAGCAAGATCATTCCTCACAGGCGAAATATACCGAAGGTTTAATTATATTTATGGGGCAATACAGTCCTACATTCCCAATCGTACTTTAGTGATAAATCGAGGACATCTGACCGCATCGTCTGACTTTCTTTTCGAGCAACAATCGAGGTCCACCTTCAAATATGTGAATGCGGTGCCACAATTTGAAAGCATAAATAGTGGCAACTGGCGGCTCATCGAGAATTGGGTGATGAGCCTTAGGCCGATGGATTCGCAGCTAATTGTTCGAACTGGGGCTTTTGGAACGCTGCAACTGAGAGACGATCGCAATCGATTAAAGCCTGCCTATTTACTGGATGACCAGAGAAATCCAGTGCCGCAATGGATGTATAAAAGAATAATCACAGCCAACAGGACGAGCTATGTATTCCTCACCCATAACAACATATTTAATGAGCCACCAGACCATCAATTTTGTAATGAGGTCCAGTGTCCGATTAATTTGAATTTGGATAGACTACCTGCAGCTGGAGTGACTTTCTGCTGTGATCCTACCACTTTCCGAGTTCCGGAAAATTAATGTTGTTCCAAATAAATAATATAATGGCATTGGCATTCAGAGCAAAAGAATTGCAAAAAAAGTTATCAACGCTTTCACTCTGAGGTGACAACTTCATTTGGGTTTCGTGAAGGGATTGGAAAACCATTTCACTTAGGGCTTTTCCCTTTGGCCCTTGTTTATGGCCAACAACTGTCGGTGTTTATTTCACCGTTAGATCTCGTTTTTCCATGTCGCACGGAACCGTTGACTGAATGTTTTTCGCAAGGGAATGGCGAACTATTCCTCGACGGAAGGGTTCCAAAAGGATTTTGGGGGAGGTAGGAGTTGGTCTCACATTACCGTGAAACCAGATAACAATTTCGCTTTATGGCCGCATTTCATGCCAACGAGACATACAATAATTTCCTCTAATCGACTTGGAGCGCGGAAATTGAGCAAACACTCTGTATCGAGTTGGAGTCACCCGGTGGTTGGGTGGTTCCATTCTTTGGTGGCTAAGCTGTTCCAAATTTCGACCTTGCCAAGTCACTTTCACTATATGTTAGCTAGTGCTGCCTGTATTCTAGAGAGCATTACAATTATAAAATGTTTTGCCAATAACGATCATTAAGAAAAGAGCATTCAATTACTTATATTAAATCAATTTAATTATTAAATGTATGATGATGTATAAAATATAAACATATTTTAAGAAAATATTTTATTATTTTTCTTTTCAAAGAAGAACAAGATTTGTGCTCTTTATAAAATTGCTTGTTTTAAAACCCTTGAATAAAAATTTTTGAAACTGAAAAATTGTAATGTAAATAAAAAGCTACTCAATAAATTAGAAATTTTTTAAAAATATTTAGCATTTCTACTGAAAGCATCACTGATGTCAACCGCATTCGGAACTCGTCAGCGAGTCATTTTATTTCCGGTTCGCCCACTCCTAGCAAAGCTTTGCGGCCTCCGCCAACTTTAATTGCAACGTCTTCCGGCATCGCAAAAGGTGCTCTTTAAAGCCCGACGAATAACTTGGAATGCAAGTTGAGATTATATTCCCGTATCCATTCCGATTTCTTGGTAATAACGGAAATGCACCTTCAATTGCTGTTTGTTTTGTCTGCCAGCTTAGAAAGTCTCATTGGTGGCTATTTTTTATCCAGAAAACGCAACACAATATAATCTTATTCCCACTCCCACTACTTGCCATTTTCTTTTGCTAGTCAAACTCAATTTGTGGTGTATAATTTGGATAGTGCGAAATCCAAAACAAGTGAATAAATATGTCTGGAGAAAATTTAAATTTTTAAAAAGCGAAATATTTACATAAAAATGTAATAAACGCAGAGAGATATAAAAGGCATTCGTATTAGTGATTTGTGCTTTGGAAATACATATTTTCATCATCACCGCCTTTGGTTGAAGTTACTGCTAAGCTTTCTGAAAAGCTTTTATGAGTAGCTACACTTAAAAGAAACTTTAGATAGGCTTATAATTTTATTTGTAAATCATTAAGAGCTGGCATAATATTAATTAAAGTGCTTAGGTTCTTAAAAATATAACTAATTCAACCAATATTTGTTGAAACAAAAAAGGACATTAATTCACATGAATTGAAATAAATACACGCAAAGTAAGTATTGAAAAATTATTTAATAATAATTCTAATATTTTCGGAGATAAAGTTCTTAATTTTTCAATTAATTTAATATCTTAATCTTATCTAATCTAATTTATATCACAAATATTTTTTATATTTTGTAATATTCACCACAACTTAGATATCCCAACGCTCTTGTTAAAATTAATTAAGTTTTAAAATGAAATAGTGCAGATTTTAGGCCTATTTTAGTCTTACTTGCACTTGACCAAGTCCTGCAGGTCCTCCGGCGACAGGGCGTACTCGGGATCTAAGTTCGGAGCATTAAGTTTCCGGCTCCGGCTGCGATGCCTTCTGCCATGACCGTATGAACTTCTCGTAGCAGATCGCAGATCGCCCAGGGCGACATGATTGTCAGCGCTGTGGAAACTGGTACTTATGCCCGGTTCCGTGACAGCGATCAGGGGAACACTCGAGGGGCGTTCCTCGGGATACTTGACCGTGGATGAGGCTGCTCCACCGGCCAGTTCCTCGGCCTTGGCCTTCTCGGCAAAGCTATCCCGCCGCCAGGAGGGCGTTAGGGTCCTGATCACATTCTGGGTGTCCGCGAAGCCCTCGTAGTTGTACTTCTTACGCAGACTCAACCCCGACAGATACTCCAACGTTTGCCAGACGTTCATCTTGTTCGCACTGTACGAAGGCTCCGCGTCGACTGACCAGCCAGCGTTGCGTGCAATCCTCTGGGCCAGGAGCATAGTCACCGTGGCACATCGCTTGCCCGGCGGCGGAGGTGCCCATTCCCGGGACTCGGATAGTGCAACAGTTCCGCCGCCGCCCACCACACCGATCACGGCGGCGGCATCAGACTTCACGGCTGTGAGTGACATATGCGGAACAGTTTGCTTAGGCCCAAATTGAAATGTAATTAAGTTTCCGATTCCGTTTAAAAAACTTCGTCCTCATCCTGCGACGACCGAACGTTGTATGGCACACGATTCTGTGTCTGGGTGGGATTACCATCACATCACAGCGCCGTCGGCGTGTCCGTTGCGTGGCAGCCACGCGTTCGTACTCGCTGTTTATTGTATCCATTTTGCGCCATTAAAAATAATATCATTCTGATTGAGTGACGCGCCGCTTAAGTACTTTCCTTCTTCGTTGTCCTCGCACTGACACCGTTTTCCGCTTGCCGCTTGCCGCTTTCCTTTTTATTGAACACGCAAAGTGTCGGCAATGCACATCGCTGTATTGTATAGTACCCTATATAGTATACACCATTCCCAAACACCAATTTCATTACTCCGTTCGCGTTTGTTTCGAACTCCTTGCCTGGCACCTTGCATCATTGTGGATACGCAGCTCAGACAAAAGTTGAGTTATGCCAGCGCTAATGGAGGGAAGCTCAATGGATTTTCTCTCACACTTTTCTGGGTATTTAAGGGATATTCGTTTTCCCTTAGTTATTAAATTCGAAAGGCTTTAGGTATTTATTTAGAATTTAAATTATTAATTTCTGTATAATTCTAGCTTCAACCAGCTTTTCAAGATACTTCAAATTAGCAATAGCATTCATTCTTATATTTATTTTTATTTATTCTTATTATATACGTGGTTAAAGTAATCTAATGACAGCAGCTTTGCAAACACCTATACCTTACTTTCAATTTCCCTAATTTCAAGCAAGAATCCTAACCTTGAGGCCATACAATTCTTGACTTGTCCGCCCCAAAAAGACAACCCGCGAAACTTGAGCGCTCCACCGACCCAGTGGAAATTACCAAGCCAATTTCCCGTTTCTATCACTCCTGTTGCCCAATTACTTGGCAAAGTTTCGCCGACAGCTGATGGCTGCACTGGCTCCCCATCCTTTCTTGGGTGTACATTTGCATTCGAGAAGTTGAGCCATCTATCAAAGGCTTCGTTAGCATCGCGTGACTGCACTTGGCCCGGAAATTAGCACCCCTCATTCAGCCCGATAAAGATTTTGGGACAAGTTTGGGCAGCAGCAGCAGGATGACTTTGTGATATATAATCTTATCAGACGATGTGATGCAATTGAGTGCGAATGTTTCCCCATCGCGGATTTAATTGCCATGGAAATATATCTGGGTGTGGCAGGGCAATACTTTATGTGTAAGGCTGACAATTTGATGGATGCAATAAAATATTATGGCTGTGGCTGTGGCTGTGGCAAAGAATCTTAATTGAATGGCAGCGGCTGGATTGGCGCCAATCGGTGTCAGACCCACCGAACCAAGAATCGGGCAACAAAACTACACATGGCCAAAAGCTTCATTGTTTTCTTATTTCTCATTAATGGATAGCTATATTTGAATAATTTGTAATTTTTCAAATTTTATTGATCCTATTTAAATGAATATTTTAAATGTTTGAAGACTTTCTTCATGCTTGTTATTTTAAGGCATTTTATCTAGAACTAGATTTTAGTTCCCTTTAAAATGATCAAAATTTAAGCCTGCTTCTCTCTCCCGTTTTCTCTCTGTGTGCCCATAAAATAACGAAAATCACTTGATGGCAATAGGTTCTGACACACGTGAGCCTTGCACGCCCAATTCCCCACCACCCACCGCCCATGGTGGTTTGGCATTCAATGTTCTCTACTCACGCAACAATGACATCGGGATCCTCCCACCATTTCTTATTCGAAGGCTGTAGCAAGAGGCTCACCTGCCTCCAATGGTTCTTATGCACCACCTTTGGATTAATTATTAATTTAAATTTTTTATTCTTTATTTTTTGAAAAGTAATTGGCACATACCTTGTATTTCTTGGGATCATATGCGTTGTGATCTTTTTCTGTAAACACCAGGCGTGCCATTTCAACTCAACTTGAATCTAACGTGGTCCTGCGTCTTTAATCGTTTTGTCCTTCTCAAGTAAGGACCTTGAAAATATAAATTGTTCTTGTATGAAATAGGATTTCTTTGTTGTGTAAACTGACTGAAGATTTGGTTTTGACAAATTATGACAATTAAATAAAAGGAAATCATGTTGAAACCATTTTAAACTATTTGGAAATTTACCGCTTGCTTTTACTAAAATAAGTGCTATTGAAAATCAAATGACTTTTTTAAATTTGTAATAAATTAAATACTTGCCTCCAGGCTAGAAAGCGAAAGTGGTTCGATTTGTTACTTAATGGAATTATAATATATATACCAAATAGGTTTTTGCAAAACGCTACTCTAATCATACTCTATCTTATATCTTATCTCTTATCTCTTTGAAAATCAATTTTAGATTTAAATTAATTTCCTAACAATTCTTGTTTTTATTTTGTTTTTATGAAAATCAATTTTACTTTAATCTTACAAGTAAATCTAATTAACTTCACTTCCTTACCAGAATTACTAATTATTTTATTTAGGTATTTAACGAAATAATTTTTTTTTGATAAAATAATAAGAATTAGAATATAATTAACGTGTCACATAGTTCAACAGTGTTCTATTAATAGTTTATGGTTTGTTTAGATTTCCTACTCTTGGACAACTTTTCTGCACCACTTTATTTCGCATCACTGGACTGCGTTGGCTGCATTAGTGATATGCAAATGATGCAATCGAGATATCGAGAGTCGACGACCAAAATGGATCAGTCTGCCGAGAACTGGCGGCGGGCACATTAATTTCAGGGCGAGCTTACCGAAGTGAATATAATTACGTTCTGCTGATGAAATTTTAATGGACAGCCAGTGGTGCTGCATGTGTGTGGGGCGAAGGTGGTACGGTGGTTCTACATGTTGTCTTGTAATTTGCCTATCCATTGTTGTTAGGGGCACCCGAGAAACAACCTTACTGTGTACTCGTATTATATTGATTGAAGTCATGGTTATGGATTGACCGATTCAAATGCGACCAGTCTTGTTTTCGTCTTGTCAACCGGCGTGGCTAATTGTCGCGCACTTGAATTGTTGTCAATGGGCTATAGATATATAGATATCGGCATTGATTCAGGAAGGTCAAGGGGCTGGGGGTATTACGTTTGTGGTTTGTTCTCTGGGCCAGTTTCCGCATTTGTGCAGCAAACATACACATGGCCGGCCGATCAGAGAACTGGCCTTATATGCCAAATGGAATTATGGATCGGAGCTATAAAAGCTCTGGGGCAATGGGCAGATGTCAGTTAGTTTCGTTTCAAGCGTCACTGAGATCACAGAAGCCAACATGAAGGTGAGAATCTAAGGGATAATGGATAGCGTGAGCTTAAGGCTTAGATATAGCAAAACCTAATTCGGTTCTTGATTAAAATTAGAATGCTAAATAGCTTAAGAAAACAAAGATGATATTAAAGAATTGAATACCTTTATATCAGTGGAAAATAGTATTTTTCAGCACAAGTCTTTTAAAAGTAAACTTCAATTTAATAGGAAATAATATTGTTTTGCATATATCATTAAATGATTGTTATTGATATTTTTTGTAGAACATTTTTTAAGTTCTTCGGTAACCAAGTACAAATTAAACACTACTTTATATATATTGTAAATTGTATTTTAGTAAAATTCTGTTTAAATATAAGTTTTTGAAAATGTGTAGCATTTCCTTTTTAATTTGTAGTAAAACATTCCAATTCCCTTTTCTAGTTCGCCGTTGTCGTAGTCTTGTTCGCTTTGGCCTATGGTGTCAACAGTTCGGTGGTGCCGCTCCTGACCTCCGTCCACGGAGGAGTGGTGGTCGGTGTTCCCCAAGTGGCCGGCTCGGTCGCCATTCAGGCATCGGCTGTTCCCGCTGCCGTTCCCGTCGCCCTGTCTCCGGCCGGACCCGTGCTCATCCAATCCGGTCCATCGGTGATTGCCGCTCCCGTTCCCGCCGTGGTGGCTGCCCATGCTCCTGCCGTGGTGGCTGCTCATGCTCCTGCTGTGGTGGCCGTCGCCGCACCGGAGGCCAGCTATGTGGCCAAGACACGTGGAGCCGTTCATGTGGCTCCTCTGCCCGGACATGCGCAGTCTGCCGCCTCCGTGAACCTGGAACCCGCACCGGGCACCTGGTAAAAACCTGGAATACCCCATGGATAACGCCCACTTCGATCGTGACCTCTACTCCACTTCCATCTGTACAACATTCTTGGTTTTTTTTCAAGTTCCCGCATGGTTTTTCCTTTCCAGAGATCCTCTCGGGATCTTATTTCTTCAACAATCTAAGTCAATCCTATCCAGTCTATCGCTTTCCGCTTTATTCTCTGGTCTATATTTATCCACCCCACTGTTGTCAAATTTGTTTCTTTTGAATAAAAAATGTTATCAAAACAAAGAACTGAATTTGAAGTGGGAAAACTTATGAAATTTACGAAAATAAAAGCCGACGGGTTTTTGGTATTAAGTTAATGGACTGAAATTACTAAAACAAAATGCCATAACATTACATTTATTTATCTGACCTTTTTAAACCAGACAAATGTATAAACATCTGCAACGAATCGGTAAGTGATCTATTCCGGAAGTCAACTGCCAGAAACGGAATGCAAAGTAACTGAATTTTACAAAGATCTGAGTGTTCTAGGAATCAATTTCGTTTGAAGCTCGATTAAGTTTATACCATGCAATTTCTTGTAAGCAATTATAGCCAAAAAAGATCTTGAACAATTTGAAGCCATTCCTACGCAATTACAAGGGGATCGGCTCACCTTTTGATTGTCATTAAAGGCCCCACTCCTTGCACAACTCCCACGCCTTTAAGTCCAGTAAATATTAGGCAGCTAAATGTCTTAAAACAATCTCGATCGATGGCCGATTATAGATGCCAGTAATTAATCAATTCCGGGGCCTCAACGCGGTGCTACAGCAGGGGCGTTGACAAAGCCGTTCCAGAAACGAGACGCTGTTGCTCGGCAGCTGGATAACATTGTTGCCAACTTGGAATTGCCGCCGAACTGGTCTATTCACTGAAATCGAGAGTAATACTCGATCTGGAGCAGGGGCGGTTTGCCTTGATCGCCGCACACTCGCACTTGCAATTATTAATAGAAAAAACAAAGCAATGTGCAAAAACTTGATATCGCTGCGGTGGAGTTAAGTAATGCCTATGCAAAGTAATGCAGTTCAGATCCGCCTTAACGCCCACTGCGGGCCATTGAAAGCCGTTAGGCGTTTGTTCCCGATGTCAATGGGATATGTAGAATTTTCTGTTGCCACATTGGGCTATAATAGTACTTTACTAATGGCTTGTATCAAGACTTACATTTTTTAACTGAAAATTTTAACTTTGATTTGTTTTAGTTCAAAAATTCCTATAAAACAGTCTTATTACTTACTTTTTTTAGGAAAACCAAAGAGTTTATTTGGTTGTAACCAAACTTTAAGTTATACTTTTTTTAAATATTAGTACACCAAAAATTTGTTTTAAATACTTTAATCATTAAATGTATATTTGTTTATTCAATGATTAAAGAATTTGAAGGGTATTTGCAAATTTATCCATTATTTCAATTTTAATAAAGAGATAATATCTGTAGACTTGATGCCCCAGCTTTTTTGACTGAAAATGGATTTGACCGAATAACATGATAAGTGTAAAAATGCCGGGGCTTTCAATAAAAGTGTCAATTGGCGCCGGAACGTGAGGCCGCGAAAAGGCGAGAGGGGCGGCACAATTGGCGGGGCGGGGGACAAGTGGCAGTCAAACAAACAGCAGCAGCAGCTAAACATTTTGCCGGCGTTGTTTAGTGTCGTGTCGGCAGCCAAGCCCCATGGCAATTGGCCATAAATCTAGCCACAGCCATTCACTTTTTGTTTTCTTTATTTACCAGTGTTATTTAACTCGATCGGTGGCTGCGTGCACGCAAATCCACAAACGCATGACGCAGCCACCGTATGCAACTTGGCCCAAACCACCAGCCGCTTTTCAGCTGAAAACACAGCAAGTTCAAGTTTACGCACTTTGCGGCTTCCTGCTTCGAACGGGTTCAGTGCACCTCGACGCACTTTGCAGTTTCTGGTTTCCACGCAGAATCGAGTTCAACTTGGCCCACTGCAATAGATTTTCAGTTATTTCTGGTCTACGCAATTCGCACTTTTCATGGCAAGGCGAAGGCAGTTTGGTTTTTGGCTTCGAGATCGCTGAAATACAAATTACAATGCATTTAGATATTTTGTTTTAAATATGGGGGTCTTTAATCTTATACTTTAGTTGAGTTTATATAAATGTTTTTATTTATTTATTATCTTTTTTTGCTTTTTCTTTTGTTTGTTATGAAAATTGGTTTTGCTGACATATAATAGTAAAACCTTTCGAAGGCCCTTAAAATATGCTTTATTTTTTTAAAGAACTTTTGTTTTCTTAGAAATAGTTTAATTTTTACTGTTGAAACAATGCTATCCAAATCTATTTTTCTATTGAAAGGCAATTTTCTAACAACATACATTGCGTATTCATAGATTTTTTTAGTTTAGTTAACATGTGTAAAAAAAAGTCATACATTTCAAAGACTTTTAAATTAATAAATTTCAAGAAAATATATTTGTACATGTTTTGAGTTCATATACAAATATATTTTGTTAAGTGCATGCAACGATTACATCATCTTAGCCTTCCACTTTCGTGTGGGCGATGAGTTATTGAATAAGGTCAGTGTTCCAGCGAAGGATCGAGTCAGTTTTGCGGTCGAGTGATTCATTCACCAGAACAGATCAGAACGAGGCGTTTTCTTGTGGACACTGCCAGTCGATTTTCAGCGCTAGACAACAAATAACAAAATCGTTCCATAGCTGACTGGATTTCGTAATGGCCCAACGGCACAGCTTTCTTATCCGCACCCACAACTGGTTGGTGGCCTAAATATAGTACGGCTGGCAACCTGTAGCCAAATATTCGCCGCCGAGTGAGCGACAAGTATCTAGCGGGTTGCATGAGCGGCAAACAAACTTGTTGCACACACTCGTTTAGATTTTTGTTGTTTTGATTTTTCGTGGCAGCAGCTAGATGGAAAAATAAGGAAAAAAAAGGGGCCCACAATCCAGACATTCCGCCAGCCACTTGCTAACGTCATAAACACACTAACCAGCCGAATATAGAACTCGTTGAATTAGCAACAATTGTATGGCAAAGCACTCTGTTAGTTGTGACAGTTGTGTAGTGACAATCGCGGCCACAAAAGTGGTTAATTATTACCCTCAGCAAATGACCATTAAGCGACCGCTTAGCATACTAATTGTAATTGGATTAATTGCCCGCAGATCTTGATCGCCAACTAACGGTTGCTGGGGAATACTTGACCAATCGATTACGTTACGATTGCAATTGCATCATCAGTTCCAAGATCCAAAAAAAAATACAGCCTTTTGGAGGCCGCCCACTCGAAAATTCCTTGCCAGAGTCCAAGTGTGATTGCTTGCATGGGCTAGTTAAATTAATTTAGTTCGACCAACAATTAAAACTTAATAAAATGTGCCTTGGTCGACCTGTTGATGATCTTACTATCATACTTAAATTTAAAAAATTCAGATTTTAAAGGTTAGGAGCTAAAAAAATTTTTAAAAGTATTTAAATTAAAACAAATTATTTTCAAAAGTCTGGATTATATATAAGTTTTGTAAAACCTCATTTAATACATATTCTTCTTGTTCTAACAACCATTGATTTTTGCAACTATTTTTTCATTATCAATCAAATTTACAGGTGTGCCAAGTGAACTGCAGGTGTTTATTTCACACGTAGAGTATCAGAATCAAATTAAATAATGATCAGCAAGCAGGAGGTGTTGGCGGTGTGGGTGGAAATGCTGGTTACCAAATGCTGAAAACCAAATTCGTTGGCCTGGCAATAGGCTCACCCCACTGGGTCTCCACCTCGTTGCCACTCCAAGTTGCCAGTTACAAGTTGCAACAATCGGCAGCCGCCAAATTGAATTCAAGCGGGGCTAACATTGATTTCCCCTCTATCGACTGCCTTCCTCTTTACCTCTACACAATTAGTTTCATTCTGTTTATGCGATTTTAATACGGATTTCGCATTCGTCTAGTCAAAAGTGGGCGTTGTCAGTCGGGGAGTGTGATAAGGACCCTCCATATAGCCTAGTCAGCGGTATTAGCATGATGCAATCCAGCGGTGAGATTGCAACAAAGGCCGGTGCTTGCAGGCAGGCTTTGTTGTTAAAATGCCATTAAAATTGGGACAAGCGGTAAATTCGATTTACAGTCGAACAAATAAACTTAAAAAACATGGAAGTGAACATTAAATAAACCAATTATTTTAACACTTTCAGTGTTTATTAGTGTTTGTTAGTTTATAAAAATAATCACAGTCTAAAATTTATAGTTTGGCTAGTTTAAAATACATACAAAATTGGCATTAAAAATCAATTATTTTAATTCATTAGATTACTAAATTGGGTACATAGTTCGATCTGAAGTATTTGAATGCTTTATAATAGGCAATAATTACCATTTTGTACAGTAAATGGTTTTTTTAACTCTCAAAATAGAAATATATTAAGGTATCATTAAAAATTACTAATCAAGATTGTTTTGATATCATTTTCGAAAAAAAATACAAGTTTTTTTCGATATTTTGCTCTCATATTTGTGTATTTTTTATTTTAATTGCAACTAGACAGAAACGGAAATTAAATAAACAATTTGGAAATAAAAAAACCCAAGAAATGTTTTAGTTCTATGAAAGTCAGAGCATATTTATTTCAAAGTAAATGGAGAACTCATCCCTGCCATAAATAAGAAATGATTATATTAAATATATACCAATTATTTTGAAATAAACAATATTATAGATATTAAATATATTTTCCACTTGCGAATGTTAAATTTAACGTGTTTAACTGTACCTTCGACCAGGCAGGTTGGTGGGGCACACGTACGTTGCCAATGTTTTGTTTGGGTTGTGCAACTGCCACAGCGTCAATCTGATTTATGCCACTTGGCCGGACTGCAGCCCGTGTCCGCTGTCGTACCGCCTTAGAAACATAACGCTTTGCCGCTCGGACGCCTGCGCACTCGCCTCGCAGCGGAGGAATCAGAATCAGAGCTATATGCCCAAGATCAATGCCAGCTCAGCGGATTGCAGATCTCAATTGAGCGCTTTGCTCATGCCGGGCCAATGGTTCTCCGGAATTCGGGGCGGGGCAGTAGTAAACGACGGAGTGGGAGTTTTCATGCTGTGCACCTGGTCATAGAAAATTTATGTATGCAAATATTTACGAATAACTGAAATACATAAAAAATATATGTTTATTTCGCTTCCTAGGAAATGTATGAGAAGTGGCCGACTATTAAAAATCAGAATCCCAAAAAAAAGGTTCCTAAAAAAGACATTTGGTTGATAGGATAGGATAGGATTATAATATAACCAGCTACAACCATTATTTTATTGCAGATAATGCGCCTTTATTCAGTGCACCTGGTCAGAGAAAACATATTTATGCATCGAGGTATTAACATACAACGCAAAACCATTAAGAAAAATATTGGATCAGTTTCTTTTAGACCTTGTAGCCGACAAAGTGACGGCGACCGATGACCTCGCCCATGTAGAACCAGGTGATCACCTCCACGGTGACCAGAAAATTTAGCCAGGCCTCGCTGACGGTGACCTGGCCAATTCCGGACTTCTTCAGCTGCCCCTTCACATCCTTCTTGGAGGCATTCTTGGCGGTCTCCGCGGTCTTCTTCAGCTTCTGGAAATCAGCGGGCATTGGGGGCGATAGCTCCACCTTGGCATATTTCCAGAATTCCTCTAGCTGCGGACGTGCAGCCACAACTACCTCTGTGGAATACAAAAGTTTGCTTTTATTTAAGCCAAGCTAGGAGTGCAAAACTTACTATTGGCAAGGGCCTTTGCCTTGACAACCAATTGACTCATTTTTTAATATTAAAAATAAAACAAGAAATAAATTTCAGATTTCACAAATTTTTCGTCTGAACCTTCTCGTAAAAAGTTATCAAACTGTGAGCTGTCGAGAATTTGTTTGACATTTAAGCAATAGGATGCTCTGCACCATTAAACATATTCTAACTAAAAGGTTGGTACACACTGAACGATTTAAAGTCTAAATATAAATAACATATTAAGCTAAAACAAAAACTAACTAAACTTTTACTAATTGAAAGTCATATCTGAAAACACAATAAAAATAAAAAAATAAAAAAACTATATGATTGCACTAGAGAAGGCTTAAAAAAATAATAATAAATGCTTGATGTAGTGCCATGCAAATGTGTTTAGAAAATTTGCATAATTGCGGGCTGGTTGAAGAAAAAACCTGCGCCAATTATGCGATTTGCTGGCGATAAACTGACCGATCATTACCGAACCGACAAGATGGTTATTACTAGAGCGCCCCGCCCACTGGCCAGAGCGAAACAATGGTATAAAATAGAATTGGAAAGAAGGCAACACGCCCTAAAAAATTGGCCTGCATTGTCTGGTGGTCATCGTAATAAAAATCTCAAAGCTGAAATAAAACGCCGAGTGTTTCGTCATAAGTTATTGGGTGGTTCAATTGGCTGGCATAATGCATATTTTAGGCAAGCTGGTTTGTTAATGAAGCTCTAATGGAACCGAGGTGAAGGGCTCGTTCTTCAAATGAAAATTGCTCTGGTTTTTTTTCGCACAGTCGATCTAATTGCGCCAGTTAGACGAGTATGACATTCCACTAAGACCCGTTACGGTGCCCTATGCATAATCATATTGGGTGTGATTAATGGATCGCATATATTTTTCACTGCAGCTGTCCACTAAATGGTTTCAGTCTCACATTTGGCCACATTTGACACTCTGACCCTCGTCTTGAAAAACGTGGCCAGTTCTTTTTTTGATCTGCATGCCCATGACAATTTCAAGTTGAGCCTGCTGCAATTGGCTGAGGGTTTTAAGTTGAGTGCCCCAAACATGGAAATGTAGTCCAACAAAAAAATTCGTTTTGCTATTTTGCATTTTTATTGTTTGCCAATGCTGACAGCCTTTGATTATATTTATTCTTGGGCGTTGCCCCGCCACAATACGAGAATTGCCTTCCTATTTTTGGCGGCGCAGCGGGCAGCGAAAACGAGGCAAAACTGTAGAGGCTAATTGTTTATTTTAAAACACTGCGAAAAATTCAAGAATTCTGGAATTCGCGACTGGAAATCACGAACTTGCTGACGTAAATATAAATAAAATGTAGAATGGCGTATTTTGAAAGATTTTGAAATAAATAACATATTTATTCGCTGCGAAATAAAGTTTTATAAATTTTTTGAAAAGTTTTCAAACTATTTATGTTGTTATTTTTTTAATCCCATTTTTAAGGAAATTCACTTTTTAAATAGCACTTAAAAATGTGAAGAGATCAAAGCACAGTCGATTACCAAAGGGTTTTAACGGTTGGCTAGCCGTTTGGCATTTTAAGCCTCAATAATTTTATTGCATTGATTAAGTCATTGCAGAGGCTAAGTTCTAAGTCCGCCTTGGGGCAAAGTAATTGTTATTTCAGTGTAGGCACGCGACTTTACATTACTTTACTTTACAGAAATTCCATGCCCCAAAGCCGCAAACGAAACACTAATACCAATGAAAAATATAATTGCAACCAAGAATTCTAAAAGCTAATGCAGCAAAAACTTTGGTCTGTGCCATTGCAAATTGAATGCTATGGGCCGCAATGCTTATGACTTTTTAAATGTGTTTGTGCTTTATCAATATAATTTGGTGTTTGTGGCAATTTTCAAGCCACTGATTGGACCAACCGATTGTGTCGGTTCAATATCTATGCTTATGTGTGTTTGTGTTTCACCCTCGGCTGTAAATTCTTGTTTATACAGTCGAGCTCCTTAAACACGAAATTTTACTAACTTTTACTACAACTTTGTTTGTTGGTTTGAAAGTTACAAAATCCGTATTACCGAAAAAGAATTTTTTTTATAAAACTTTCTAGTATTTATAGTATTTATGGCGATGACACAAAAATAATTTTTATATGTTTCAAAAAATTTGACAAAACGCATGATACAAATATATGAAATTAAGCTTATAAGCTTATTTATGAGCCAACCATTCCATATATTATTACATTCAGTTTTTTTAATTTTTATGAGCCTATTCAAGTTCTCAATTATGGTTATTATTTGTTAACATTTTTTTTTTTAATTTAATATTTTATGATGCCCATTGGTAATTGGTGTGTGCTTATCGGTATTGAGCTATAGAAGTTAGACTGTGGTAATTTGCGCAATCATTGACGCCCGCCGCCCCCTTTTCGTGGCTGGGGGGTTGCTGGTCATGTGAGTGGGGGTGAGAAGGGGGAGGGGGAGGGGGAGCAGGAGCGGGACCGGGAAGCGACACCCAAGGCAGAGATCTTCGAGCAGCTGGGCAGTGAAAGGCCAAAACCCGGAGCGGATCTACATCTACCGAACTGGGTACTCCAATTCTGCCCGAGACTTGGGCGTCGGCGTCTCTAGAGCAGAGTCTCTCACGCCATTCGCCTCTCTGGTGCATTTTGATATATATTTTCTTGACTTGGGGGGCAGGTTTCGGTTTCGGAATTGGAAAAGCAAGCAAAGTCCGCACCGCGCTTTTCGTATAAAAGTTGCCACAATTTGGTAGTCGAAATCAGAATCAACTCGTTCGCTGAGTATTCAACACTAGTACTTCTCCTTCAACAACCCAACTTCAAAACCCACCCCAAAAAAACCAACATGAAGGTGAGGATATCGAGCGGGAGTGTTTTGAAAAAGTTTTCGAATTTTCAAAATATATTTTTGAATATTTGCAACATTTTTTCAAAATGTTCTACAGGACTTACCCATAGAATCCTGTGAGTAATCGAAATTCTTCTAACGTTTTCCAGTTCGCCGTTGCCGTAGTCATGTTTGTGTGCGCCCTCGCTGGAGCTCATGCCTCGTGGGCCCAGATCGCTCCTGGTGTGTCCTATGTGAGCCCCGTGGCCCATGGCGGACCTGGTCTGTGGAACGGTGCCTGGAATGGTGCCTGGAACGGTGCCTGGAACGGTGCCTGGAACAACGGCTGGAACGGCGCCCACTGGGGAGGTCCTGCCGCCGTTGCCGTCCATGCCGGAGCCGCTCCTTGGGGTCTGACCGGTGCCGGATGGCATGGTGCTGCCGTTCCCGGAATCAACCTGGCCCAGGGACCTGGTCTGGCCGCCGGCCATGGCCATGAGGGCGTCTATGTGGCCAAGACCCGTGGTGCCATCCACACCGCTCCTTTGGCCGGACACATCAACTCCGCCACCTCCGTGAACGTGGCCCCCGCCCCGGGAACTCTGTAAGTCGCGAGTGCCTCCTGACAAAAAAACTATACCCAACCGATGCCAAACGGAGCGGATGGATGGCAGTATCACTGATCTCCAACTGCTTCAGCGACTCCCCCATGACTCCAGCCGGATAAACACCCATCTCTCACTCTCTGTACACTTATTGTTAAGCACACCGCTCTTAGTCCCCCCCGATACGAACACGATCCTGATCTTGGGTCCATGTCCATATCCTCTGGACATTTCCCAACGCACTCAGCAAATATATAAGTCCAACAGCAATTACAACAACTACAACAAACCAACAAATGACAGCATGTAATTTTTATTATTTGAGAACTCTTCAAATGCTTCCCATCTGCTATCCCGTCTACTATCTTCCTCTACTCTTCCCCTGCCACTATATCTTTCTATATCTTTTACTGTCTGGCATATCATCCTTAGATATGCCTTGTCAACCTGTAAATATCCCATTTTACTCTAGTAATCTGCAACAATGTAAAGATTGACGAAAGCGTTATAAATAAACTCAATCAGCGTTTTTTATACGAATTACCTATGGTGTTTTTTCAAATATGGGGATGAACTTTGAGGGAAATTCTCTAGAAACTTTTGTAAGAGTAATTATTTATGAGATTTTAAATTTAATATAGACTCAGCATAAATTATATAAATATTTTAGAATATTACTTAATATTTAGATTTGCAATTTTTATTCATTTTACCTACCTTATTTAAATTTTATTTAACTTATAAAGTCTGCTTTCGAATTTAAAATTGATCTTAATATGCTGTTAAGTTAAAAACACTTTTAAACCTTTTTTTATCGCTTCATATTGTTTTAACTATTTTTTTATTTATTTTTTATTAATACTTGAGAAAACTTTAATTTTTCAATGTAAATTGACATTAATCGAATTAAAAGCATTCAAAACTATACTTTAAGATTCTTTTAATCCAAAATTCAGATAGGCTTTAGAGAATATTCTTTTCACACATAGCTTGAAAGGGATTATGCATTTGCAATATGAAATTCAGTTAGTTTTCTATAAAAGAATTACAGAGACCCTTAAAATTTTTAAGACAAAGCATTGAATCACGTTTAAACTCAAATTAAATTCAACTAAATCATAATAGTTAATTATAACCTTGAGTCTTTTGTTGCACCTGCTCGACCTTGAGAAGCCGACAAATTGTTCAATTGATTCCATATCTACCAAGAATGTCTAGATCAAATGTGTCTTTGTCTTTAAGTGTATATTATTATAGTGGCAGTCCTAATTTGCTTGGCAATAATATCAACCACTGCTGAACGGTAGTCAAGTTAGGGGCCATTGGTCATTAGATCGAGTTAATTGGAACATACCCAGCTCATATGCACGTATTGGGCGCACAGGGCGTATGCTTAATTATGCAAACGCTTAGCGCTAATTACAGATCGCACAAAGACCAAGTTTCGTATTTAGTCAGCACCTGGGCTTCTGGTACACCTATTGTATATAATTGCCTCACAAAGTAAATTATAGCAGCCGCTAATTACAGACTATCATCGCATCGCAAGAATTCAACTTGAACTTTTTTTGGTGTCTGCCAAGAGTTTTTGCCTAGACTCAATCGATCTCACCCACACTGGCACCGAAACCAGTTTTTCCCCCTTTGTAAGGCTTTTTCGGCATAATTGAATTGTCTTTGCTGGGCTACATTTGCACTAAATTCGGATTTAATTGCTGCACCTAATGGGTTTGCAATAAATTTATGTAGGCTGTTCCAGGCGATTGACACCCACATTGCCGATCAATTTCAGCCAGGTAAATGTTGCGCAATGTCGAATCCATTAGGTAATCGGAGGTGGAAATATAAGGAAAAAGGCTTTTTGCTATGTTTAATTTCCAATTCTGTAAATTTAAACTCTTTTAGTGTATTAATAAATTCATAACGATATAATTTATCCTGTGTTGAAAAGTGTAAGAAAAAATATGGCCAAAAACAGAATACAAAAATATTATATTATGTAAATAAAATTTAGTTCTATATACTTTTAGTTGTAATTGTTATCATAAATGCCTTCATATAAATAGTTTATTGCATACTGTAATCTTGAAAGCCTAAATACAAATTTTTATTGCATAAAATCGTATAAATAATTGGTGAATTGTTCTGACCATGGAACTACAAGCTTTTTAATTCATCATATAAATATATTTAAATATAAATCGTTTAAGTGGGAGTTTCCTGGCATATTATTAACCCTTAAGACACATAAATCAGTTATCAGCCGGCCTTATACAGGATACCAATCGCTCCATAATTGGAATCGTGTTATAAATCATACTGAAATGCTAATCGCGCACAAACAACAATTAAGTAATTAAAGTGGCGGTGTGATGGAGTGAAAATCAACTTACCGGAACTGCAGCTTAAAAGTGGGTTGGGCCACTCACTCAGACAGTTGGACCCAGACCCACTTGGCCACGGAGATGGAAAATACACTCACCGAGAATGCATTTCTGGGGCGGTGCAGGTTGTGAGTGGTGTGGATATGGTGGTTCGCCAATGATTTAGTTCATTGTGGGTGGTTTGTTGGGCTTTGTTCTATATTATGATTTAATAATAATCGATGTCATATGGTAACGAATGTGCCATTAATATTTTTAATTTATTTGTCTTTGGCAATTTGAACTTAGCTTAAAATAAATTATTACAAAAGGTAGCACTCAAATATGCTAATACTTGCGCTTGCTGATCTGAATTGTTTTGCAGATAAATTACCCCTAATAGTTTTTATTTTAAAAAGGAAAGTAAATTTCAATATTGATTAAACTTTTTAAAACATGATTTTTATTTTAAGTTTTTTGCTAGATAATATTATTTCCGATTATTGCCTTAAATTTAAGGGATTTTAATACAAAAAGTATATTTTAAATTAGTGATTAATAACTGTAAAAAGTTAATAACAATTAAAATAATAATAACAATAATAGTAAGTAGCTGTAGAACTAGTTCTTCAACATCGACTGCTTTGAAGTCGTACAACGTAGCCGTTTGGTCTCACAGCCGATAGAAAGATCGATCACTACCGATCCGATTCGTTCAGATCCGAGGCATGTCATTAACTCTGATCATATGCATGCGGAGCAGTGTCAGCAATGTCCACCGTGTCATGGTGTGTGAACTCTCACTTTCATGAACCCTCGGACGTAGCGGTTTTCCAAAGCTGATGTGGTCAGCTGTGGGGTATAAAACTGGCCAGCAGCACCGTTGACAGATCAGTTCAGAACAAGAGTTCAATCAGAGCGCAACCCAAAACCCACAATCAGCACCATGAAAGTGAGTTATCAAAGGGATTTATCCTGATTCTTAAAGCTAAGCTTAAACAATAACGTTAAAGTTTAGAATTCTTAAAAAATAAAGTGTTCGGGCTTTTGTAAATCTTCAAGCTTGCCAACTGTTGTACAATTATCCATTGCAGGAAAATTTTAAATAAAATAGGATTTTAAGTTAAAGTAAGTCTAACTAATTAAATAAATTTTAAAATTTTATTCTCATCCCAGTTCGCCGTCGCCGTTGTCTTCACCTTGGCCCTCGCCATGGGCGTGCAGTCGTCTGTGATCCCCCTGCTGTCCCAGGTGGCTGGCCATGGACTCTCCTACACCGCCGTCTCTGGACCCGCTGTGGTGGCCTCTCCCTGGGCCGCTCCCGCCGCCCACTGGGCCGTTCCCGCCGCCCACTGGCCCGCCGCCGTGAACGTGGCTTCCTGGCCTCCGGCAGCGGTCCATGCCCCGGCTGCCGTGGCCGTCCATGCCGCCGCTCCCGCCGTGGTGGCCGGCCATGCTCCGGCCGTCGTCGTGGCCCCAGTGGCCCATGAGGGTGTCTACACTGCCCAGACCCGTGGAGCCATCCACACCGCTCCTCTGGCCGGACACGTCCAGTCGGTGGCCTCCATTAACGCCGCTCCCGCACCCGGAACTCTGTAAGGAGGAAGCTATAGGAACTATAGCTATAACCTCTCGCCGATCTGACCCCCCGCCACTACCATGGAAACTGCCATCGATGGGAAACCCCCTTCACCACTGATTTGTAAATACATTGTATATATATATATAGACATATATAGACAGGGTACTCGCACTTAGCACCTGAACAGGAACTTTCCACACCTGTCCCAAAAACTGAGCCATCAAAATTCCCTTTCGACCTAAGCACACGGCCACTTTTGTGGTTGCCTCTTTCTCACGCTTACCTATTTATCTAGCATACATTTTCCAAGCATTCCTGTGAAAAAACGCTTTAAGCTTTCCTTCAAAACGGAAGCCAAGTGCATTCTGTTAGGAAATGTTTGAATATGTTGCCAATAAAGAAAATGTAACTAAATCATAAAAGGATTCTTTTGGGGGGAAATGAAATGAAATTTCATAACCAACTATAAAAAATAATGTATTAATATCTATCAAGCTGAACTTGTTTATGCTAGTAATAGATCATTTGACAACATAATTGTGCACCACTAAAACCAGTTCAAATTATACAGCTTGATGGCTTCAAAATAACCCGTGAGTAATATATTCCCGGCAACCACAGTCAATTAGTATACACAGTCCGTTGGCTCCTAAAACTATTATCGCAGCTTTGTTACGTCTCTTAATACATTTGATTGATTCATTGCCACAAATTGTCACATGCTATTTGCATAGATTTCCCCCTCATCCAGACATTATAAGGTGTGATTGGAGCGACGCAATTGAATCGAAAGCTGAAATGTCAAGTTCATGCGCATGCGCAAAGTCTCCAACTGCGTTCAGCGCAAAATACAGCCACAAATCAAATGAAATCAGCCGCTGCCTCTCACACTTGTTTTTCCCCCCTATATCATTCGATTTCTTTTAGCAGAATCAAACAGTTGCGTGATTTTCCTTCCTCTTCACCACCCCCCTTTCTAGTTTTCCCACATCTCTGTTTACACAGTCTCGCGCTTGTTTTTCATGTTTCTTGTTTCGATTTGGTTTGCCGCATTTGGCCGTTGAATAAAATGCGTCAGTGTATCAATAACAGTCCGCCTCGAACTTCCTTCAACTTTTTCGCACCACACCTTTTCTAAAACACACTGTGCGAAATATTTGTAATTTTAAAAAAACCCACCTTATAAATTGGTTAGCAGAAGGTAGACTTGAGTAAAAAATTTGTTTGATGCAAAACATATTTAGTAAAGAAAATTTTCTTCTCTGCAGTGTCGATTGCGATTGAATCTCGGCAGTATTGAACTGTGTGCAATGATTTATTGTACGCCGGCGGCCAAGAGTCAAGCGTCAATCGTGTCGACAGTCTCCCCTTACTTGGAGTCCGACTCGAAAATGGCAAGAAATTTCCTACTGGGCTTCGTTTTGGCAATAGCCGGTAATTGACCGGCAAAGAGAAAATCACACAGAAGTCGCGGGGTCAATTCCAATTTGGCGTGCTTTTATGTTCGTACATATATTTAATTTATAAAAATGAAATGAGTTAGGAGTAAAAACCACTACTTTATTTGTAGTTTAATGGAATAATTGAAATTTCATTAATCGATTTCTCATGAAAAGTATTACCTTAATTTTTAAAACTTAGCTACGTAAGTAAAACGTTATGTTTTATACAAAATAGATAATAGAAAACTAAATAATACAACTCTTTGGTCTTAGTGTTTTTTTTATGTCTCAATATATAAATATAAAAAAAATATTTTATTGAATGTTAACGGAGAATTTTGTTTGGTAAAATTATCGTATTTATTTTAATTAAGTTACATTATTACATTATTAAAAGATTTATATTTATATTTTAGCAAAACAATCCGTAGATTTTTTTTAAATTTATTTATTTATTTCCAATTAGGCAAGTTTATGCCGTTTTAGGTCTTTAAAATAGTTCAATGGACTTAATGTTAACAAGAAAGAAAGCAAACTTCGGCAAGCCGAAGTTCATATACCCTTGCAGCTATCGCAAGAATTAAATATTTTTGAAAACATTAAAATTATGATTTACTTGCGTATATGTTTAAAAACATTGAAGCTATGAAGATTTGCAGCTTAATTATTTGATTGTTCTTTTATATATTTTCATTATTTGTATAGGAGCTATATGATATAGTCGTCCGATTTTGATGAAATTTAAACCATAATTCTGAAATATTTAACCATTGCTATATGTCGAAGAACTAAAAAACAAATTAAAAAACAGCAAAGTTATAATTTTTTTCAATTATTTTTCCGATTGTTCCTATGGGAGCTATATGCTATAGTCGTCCGATTTTGATGAAATTTTAATCATAATTCTGAAATATTTAACCATTGCTATATGTCGAAGAACTAAACAAAAAATTAAAAAGCAGCAAAGTTATAATTTTTTTTCAATTATTTTTCCGATTGTTCCTATGGGAGCTATATGCTATAGTCGTCCGATCCGGCTCGTTCCGACTTATATACTACCTGCAATAGAAAGACAACTTTTGGAAAAGTTTCATGCAGATAGCTTTAAAACTGAGAGACTAGTTTGCATATAAACGGACGGACAGACGGACAGACGGACAGACGGACGGACAGACGGACAGACGGACAGACGGACGGACAGACGGACATGGCTAGATCGACTCTACTAGTGATGCTGATCAAGAATATATATACTTTATAGGGTCGGAAACGTCTCCTTCACTGCGTTGCAAACTTCTGACTGAAATTATAATACCCTCTGCAAGGGTATAAAAATAATCAATTTGAAAGCTCTTAGCTTTTTTCACTGTTATTTCCGACTCACTTTACCTGTAGAGCATTTGAAATGGAACTAATGCCTAAATCGCTCTCTTTTTTGTGACTCTTTTGCATTTCTCCCTAAGAGTAAAAAATGCACAAAGCAGCAAAGGCGATAAGAGACAGCAGTAACATCTGCAGTAACACAACAACAACAGCAGTCGCAGCAGCAGCACCAGCAAAAACAGGAACAACATTCGCATTCGTCTGACATTCGGCGACTATCTGGCTGAGTTTTTACTCTTCAGTTTTCAGTCGTTCGCTGGCAGACGCGCCGACAACGTGCGTCGCAGTCGCAGCAGATTCCGATTCGGGTTTAGATCGAGATTTCGATTTGGGATTAACATTCGCGCAGTGCAAGTTTGCAGGAGTTTCGTGCGTGATTGCAAATTAGTTGACGCCTGAACAAAATAGAAAAGTGCAGTGTTTGCAGGTGCATGCAAATGTGAGTTGCAGATGGTTGAGATTACCAGCGGATGATAACATTACACATTGAGTTTACATGGCGCCAATCTTATTATCTATATGTGCATAGTCTTCGTGAAAAGAAGAAAAGTAGTGGAGAAAGGGGAGGAATGACGACGGGAGGGCTAGGTACTGCCCACAGACTTGGCCAACACTTGAGACGCCAAGTTTTTGCGTCTTTTGCTCACAAGCAAACAAAATATTTATGCACACTTAGCGGAAATTTTTTGTTAGACATTTTTTTTCAAAGTTTGTAATCAGTCGTTTTGACCGAGCTAATATAAATGTCTCTAAGCAATATTCATGTTTTTACCTATTTAATTTAACATTAAACTTTTTTTTTGTTAGATCAATGATAATTTATATAGAAATTTTTTGTTAAAGAATATTTAGCCATGCTTTTTTCACTGTGCATAATTTGTGTGTGCTTTCTTCTTGGCCATATACATTTTTTTCGCAAATTTATCGCGAACACCGAAGTGTTTGTTTGTAAACATTTCGATTCGACTAATTGGACACGTTCGCCCCATTCGGTGCACTCACTAATTTACTCATAAATGGAGCCAAACCAAATCAACAGCGTCATCGCTGTCCGAAGTGCGAAAGCACAAGAAAAACGGGGAAATGTAAAAGAAACAGAGATTTTCGCATGAATTACACAATTCACACAGTGCAAAACAAAAAACAGCTGATTTTCGCACACCCAATTACACAGTCCCTCCGCTTTTTATCGTTTTACTTGTTGAAACGTTTTTGGGCAAGAGAGAACGAAAGAGCTGCCTCCGGAGCTCAGTTGCTCGTACGAATGAGCAATGTCAAGTATACGCTCCGTAGGCCACCGGCATTGTTTGCAAAGAGATTGGAAGTGGGGGTGGGAAAGAGCACCATCAGCTGTCCATTGCCCCCGTTCACTTTGCCATTCGTTTTGTTTCTTTTCTTTTTGATTTATTTTCATCCACATTGTTTTGTTTCGATGCGATGCGATGCGATGCGATTCGATTAAATTCTGTTCGATGGCTTTGTTTTTAAAAATAAATTTCCATTTGTTTTGATTCCCCTTCTGTTGGAATTTTTCTTTGTTTCGCGATACTGATAATAGCATAGGTACGGCAGATTTAAAGAATTGTCGGAACCATCGGCTGATTGGCCAATTTACTGCAATCTAGTATTAAACTTTAAACATTTTCACTAAGAAATGGAATTGTTTTTTTTTTTTTTTTGAAGCTTTCATTCTTATTCATTAGAAAAATGTTTATAACTTATTTATTTTATTTGATAAGTTTTGTTTTTAAAAAAATAACAATATCAAAACATTTTCACTTAAAATTTAATTATAATGATAAAATTCCCATTGCTTGAAGTGTTGTTACGTGTTATATAAAGTTTTATAAAAATTGTAGAGTTTAAGAATATACATTTTTGATTTTTTACGCACCATAGTCAAATGTAATTTTATTTTTATTTTGTTATACTGTAAGCATCTGTCCCACTGTACGCCGCGTATAATCGCTGCACACTCACTGGCACTCACATACGCATTGCACGAAAAAAACTACGTACAAAGACTTATATATTTAATTAAATTTGTGAGTTGTTGGTGTTGCCTATAATTCTGCTTGATTTGGCGTCGCTTGAGAACGGCAATCCCCATCGACTAGCATCATTTGCCGCTGAACATCGGAGCTGATTGCTTGGCGCCCGGAGTAATCAAAATCGGGTTTAATTTCGAATAAGGTCTACAATTGCGGGGTGAAGTCACCGGTGGCAATAACAGCCTATTAGAAGATAATCTAAAGCTCTGATTTCTACTACTTGTTCTTCGTGAAGTGACCCAGAAAAGTACTGCTCAAAAACTAGGTCAGAGTGCCAAAAAAGACGAAGCAAAACAACAGCGGAACAAAACGGCATGAACTTGGAACAAAAAGCATCTGGTCCATTTTAATTGAGACTTGAGAGTTTTAAGTGTTTGGGCTTTCCCACCTGGTGGCCACTGGATGAGCCACCATGAAGGGCATCTGCGGCGAGCAGCTCAACAACTGCATGCTCCTGGGCGACTGTGAAAACAGCGAACATGGTGCA